CACTTTCATTTTTTAAATAGTAATTAATAAACATTCGATACCATTACAATTTCCTTTGATTTAATTTTAAATAAATATTTAGAGTGCCCAGGCAGCACATAAACAATGCAATTTAACGGTTTTCTTAAAGTAGGAACGTTTAACCTGTGCGGCCAGAGCGCTCTCCTTCCGTCTGCTCTGCGTAAACCTGAGCTGGTCACCTACTTGTGCGTAATCAAATGTCTATAGGGGACAAGATATAGCCATGATGTTCACTTTTACCTCAGACCGACTTATTGCTGTTTTATGGTGTGGCTGAATCTGCGATCCGCTGCCACGCTGACTGGAATAACAAATGCTGCAGTAACATGAGATGTGGTCAGGTTCATGAGGAGTCACTGGCTGGAGCGGACCCGACTCATCCCAGAAGCTAATATCTTAATTTGACCTTGAATGATAAATAACCTCTTAAAAGTTTTCATCACGCGTGGAGGCAGCGTTCATTTCTGCCTTCAGTCTGACGGCGCGCCGGAGTTAAAGCAGCGTGCGCGCTTATTGAATCTGTGCGTGTGTGTGTGCGCACGTGCACGCGCGCGGCACAGCCGCTCAAGTCACCGCGTCTCGTTATTGGCGCTATTTAAACCAATGTTGTAAAATGACTTCTGCCCAGCCCAGATGTGCTCACTTGTGCACCCGTGAGCCGTGGTTCTGCTGGAACACGTCTGACCTCTGACAGACGCACTCTGAACTTCAGATCTTCAGCGCGCTGTTAATAGCCTGAATGGGAATCATTTCTTGTTATTTAGTTACATCCACAATGTTCTGTGTGTGAGGTTTACAACGTCAGAACACCTGCACGAGACAGGTGTTAATTACAATCTGCCAGAATGACTCGCCACCTTCAGATTCCTCCAACACCGTTAAAAACGATCAAATACGGAACATATCGGCGTGCGCAGGCCAGAGTGCTGAAGCTCGGCGCATTGTTATTATGAAGCTTGGGCACATGTGGAGGACACGCGCGCGCGCAAAAATATACTTGTTTTCAATTACATTTATTGGGCCCACTTACTTTTTCTTTGGCCCACCCACAAATGAGTTTCTATGCTAATGGTGACATATGACAGACTTCTCTGAGCTCCGCAGCCATTACACTTTTCACCTCGCGCACCCCCTAGCGGCAGCTCGTGCACCCCCAGGGGTGCGCGCACCACACTTTGGGAATCCCTGCACTTCAGTAAAACCGCACAGCTCCAGTAGGCCGTGTCTTGCCTCTTAGGACTGTTTTACTTTTCCTGTTTAGCTTAACTCTGATTCATTCCCTCTTTCAGTTGCACCTTGGAATATTTTGTAGCTTTTTTGGTTTTATTGGTGTTTTGAGCGGGTTTCATCCAGGTTCTCCTTTACCTGCCATAGCGATTTTACTTCTTCTCTTTGTCCTTTTAGTCGTGTATTTTATGCTTTGGTTTTTATGCTTTTTAATTGTCCTTTAGTTTTTTTGCTATTTTTCTGTTTTTGAGCCTCTGGCTTTTTATGTCCAGCACTTTGGTTAGCTGACATGCTATTTTAAACTGCTTTATAAATAAAATGGTATGGTATGATAGGGCTTAAACATCCTCTGACCCTATTACTAACTAATAATTTTTTAATGGTAAGGTCCTCTCTGAAAGGAGTTTTATTGGGTACCCAGTGGTAGCGAGCATCGTCGAGTGTCTCCTTGGAGATGAATCTTCTCTCAGCACAAAAACAAAAAACAACTGATCCTAGTAAAACACATTTGTTCCAGCTCTTCCGTATGAAATCAGGACTACTCCTGGAAACAAGTGATGCATCCATGAATTGACCAGCTGGTGGCGTTATCTTTGTCCTGATGAATACTGAGCCTGCTGGAGAACGCTCTGGACAGGATGGGACATTCCTCCCAAACTCTTACCTGATTGGTTAGGGTAGAGCTAACACTTGATTTATTTTCTACCCGTTCAGGATGAGCCACAAATATGCACAAATGGTGTTCTGCTGCATTGTATGATACATCTATATCGGGTTTTATTTTTTTACCCATCAGGTACATTGAATAGGTTTTTCATGCGGTGCAGGAGGCTGTTGATGGACTAACCAGAGCTCTGAAGTTACTCTGAAAGTCCTGGGACTGTTGGGCTTATATGGCCACGTGAGGTCATGTGACTGCAGGTGGCTGGAAGCAGAGACTCTGAGCTGCGGCCAGCCTCCGAGTGACCCAGAGAGCTTGAGGAACTCCAGGAGGGCTGGTTAATTCTCCAGGAGGGGGCCTGTTATCCTGGCCAGCACAGCCAAGCTCCTCCTCCTCCTCAGCACGTTTAACAAGCCAACATTCCTTCTGGGAACTTTCAGTCACAACTGTGTCCTTTAACCATTTGAGTCAAAGCCTTGGATAGTCACACCTGTCTGAATGCACTCATTTGGGTCCCTGAAACAAGCACACACGCACGCACACACGCACGCACGCACACACACACACACACACACACACTCACACACACCCTCTCTCTCTCTGCTGCTGCTGTTTACACCCTACACACCTTTTACCTAAGTTATCAGGTTTCTGTCTGTAGCTCGGGGATCTGGTGTGATGAAGCTGTTTCTTTCCACGTGCAAATAAAACCAGGCTGGCTGTAATCAGATGCATTTTTCTGGCCTGCTCTGAAGGTGGGAACATCTGAAGGATAAAATCTAGTGGCTGACATTTTCTGCAGCTCCGCCTCAACAGTTAAAATCTCAAACATAACATGCATAAAAATGCCAAATTACAAAAGATACACCTCTGAGGCACCACTGAACTCTGAGTGAGGAAAACACCCCTCTCAGTGCAGCGTCCACGCTTTACTGGGTTAGATAGGTTGGTAGGTTATTGCTTTAAACTAGGGATGTCCCGATCAGGTTTTTTTTGCCTCCGAGTCATTTGATTTTGAGAATCTGCCGATATCGAGTCCCGATCCGATACTTTCGATACATAAAAAAAAGCAAAGGAAGAAACAGTTCCAGAATGTTCCTTATTTTTTTTATTTAATTACCTTTTTATTTTAATTTTTAACAACAGATCACTTCTGTGAGGTAGCTTGAACAATCAAGTAATAAACAACATTAATTCTTAACTTTTGGACTTATATACTTGCACTTGGATAGTGTATTTACTAGTGTGTATATATATATATATATATATATATATATATATATATATATATATATATAAATAATTTCAGAGACTTAATATCAAATTTGTCCTTCATTCTCATCCACCTCTTCATGCGGTTGCCACCTCTAACCCACATTTCCCGTTGTTTCCCTCCACATTAGCTCTGTATTTTGTACTCCTTTACTCACAGATGAATAAATGTTAATATTTTAGGACTTTTTCCGCGACGCGTTCTTCAGTCTGTTCTGGGTCTGCCGCTAAATATCTGTTTACTTTTTAACAGAGCTACAGCGGTGCTGGTGACGAATATGCAGGAAGCAGCATCCTGACCAATCACAAGCTTGCGGTGTCTGTCACTTTCGATGGATGTTTAAAATTTTTGGGCATGTCTCTCACAACCCCTGAGAACCTGTTGGAGAGCTGCACTGACGCAGACGGAGAGGTATAAATCAGGCTTGAGTCAAGCAAAGAGTCCTGGAACTGTCCAGGCCTGCGCCGAACACGCACCGGTCTCCATTGCGGGCAAGTCCCTGGCCTGTTCAGCACTGGCATCAGGGGATGGGAGCTTCCTCCACTGCCTCCAGTCTGTGGCACAGGAGCTCGAGGTGGATACGGTGCCAGTTGGTCCTTGTGAAGAACCACACTCCGCCCACGACCAGGCAAGCAAACCCGAAATACCGCCTCAAAGGTCTGGTCCACGATCTCCCTAGATCCCTGCCAGTGATACATCAGCTTGGGGGAGAGCCCCCTTTTCCTGGTTGGGCAGTACACCCAGACCTTGTCTCCCGGTGCAAGGGATGGTCTGTGAGCCCTGGAGCCATACGCCCTCTTCTGGCGGGCTCCCGCCTCCGACAGTGATGTTCTCGCCAGCTGATGCACCTTTTCAAGTCATTCTTTCAGCTGCCGCAAGTAGTCCAATTCCGGGACATCCATACTCTCTGTTTCAGATGGTGGACCAAATACCAAGTGTTCAAGAGCGACCTTGAAGGAAAACGGTACCTCAGGACAGAGTGTGTGCTCCTGGTGTAAATGTTCACCTCTGGTCTTTTTTCTAAAGCAGCGCATGTTCAGGCCTTTTCCCTCTACATCCCTGCACTATCCAGTGTTTCCCCCAAATCCTTTTCACTCGCTCCGATTTCACCACATGTCCACAAATTGGCACACATCTGAAATCCAGCCCTTCCACTCTAGAGTTTACTGGTGGCCGTTTAAACTTGCCGTGCACCAATTTAACCGTGATGTCATGCTGGAAGTTCCACAAATCCAACTCGCCGGTTTGCCTGCAACTTAAGTGGCTTTTGTCGTCGGCAGCTGGAAGCAGGCTGGTCAGAGACAGTACTGGCTTTCATAAACGCCTGGCTCTGCTCCTGCAGGTCCTCCTCCAGCCTGGCGTTTGGGCTTTGGGTGTAATTAACCCAGGAACTAATAAAGAGGCGTTTGCAGCAGGGTGCGCCATGGGCCCACTCATCATGCCAGCTTCTGTTGGGCAGCAGAAATAGCTCCAGATGTTTTCTGCTTGGATAACAAAGAATGCTAGGATTTTTACACCTACTGCATTTGATACAATGCTCCAGTGTGCTGCTGGTACAACAGGGAGAGAGCAGGGTTCAGAGTCGTTAGCATCTAGAGGAAAGCTGAGAGGTGAGTCTGTAAATAAACCACCATCAGATGGCTTTAATTGGGTCTTGCTAGGATAACTCGCTCACACCTCTACAGCGTTGGTACAGAGCCACCGTTTCATTCACCGCTGTGAGTTTAGCTAAACACCCATCTGGCTCACGATGGACAGACGGAGTAAAGAGACGAGTGTTTGACCAAGCTGATCGTGTTTGTCCCCTTTGTCCTGCAGACGTTTACAGCGTGGTGCAACTCTCACCTGAGGAAAGCAGGAACGCAGATCGAGAACATCGAGGAAGACTTCCGGGATGGGCTGAAACTCATGCTGCTGCTGGAGGTCATCTCAGGTTAAGGCTCAATTTCTTAATGAGATTAGCTGGATTTAGACGGCATGCTCTTTGGATAGAAGGTCCAGCCATACAGGAACGTGTTACATTTAGTTGTCTCATGGAAAGTTTTCAAGTACTTAAATGTAATATTTTAGCATAGAATGAGATTCTGTCTTCACTTCAGTGAGTTTGTATTTTTAACCAGTCACTGTGCTGCCCGTGCAAAAAATAAATAAATAAAATGGATCACTTGTAATCTTAGTTTTCTGCTAGTTTTAGTGAAACCAATCCCCCTGCAGCTCTTTTAAGAACATGACTTAATATTAGGGGAATAAATGCAGTTTTTAGGGCCTATACTGATTTATGATTTACCCGCCAATACAGTCTTTGGCTGAGAGCGACGATCGGATAACTTTTATAAAACATTAAAACTGATGATTGGGTGATGTTGGGGTGAACAATCCCAAATTAGAAAATTCCTGAAGAAATTTTGAAAAGGGACCTGTCACCTGGCACAGGACGGGTGCTAATGCAAAATGTAAAAAATGCCACACACTCAGAGTTTGAAACAATAGTTCGATCTGCCCAAAAGTAGGAAATCTTTCAGCACACCTCCCACAGCCGCGCCGCTCGTTTTGATACATAATTTGTGGGGGGTGCATTCAGCCGTTCAAGCTGCATTAACGTCCACGCAAGAACAAAAACAAAGTGTTAACCCCCCAGGTGTAAAACAACGAGGGCCCTGCTTGCTGCAGCAGCAGCTCCCTTAATCATTAAATTCAGTTTCTAGAAAGAAAATCTGTCACTAGTGTGGATTAGCACTCAGTGATGGTGATTTCACAGCTTAAAAATCCGTCAGACTTCTGAGTTTCAGGTCGGCAGATTTCTAATTTGGCAGAATATTGGCTGTGTCCAATCGCCAGCTGACCTTTTTGGAGTCCTTCTACAGCTGGAATAATTTCAGATTAAGATGGCTGCCATAGTCGACTCTAAAATGGATAGATACTGAGCTACCTTCTGGTGTTGCAGCGGCTCCGGTAAAAGCGGAAAGTCGTCCTGATTTCCTTTTGCTTCCAGGTGAACGCTTGGCCAAACCAGAGAGAGGCAAGATGAGGGTCCATAAGATCTCCAACGTGAACAAAGCGCTCAACTTCATTGCCAGTAAAGGAGTGAAGCTGGTTTGTATTGGAGCAGAAGGTAAATGATGTCACAGCATGACCTCTGACCTTGTTCAAACCAACTGTTCAGTTTTGATTTTAGTGAGCAAAATCACCAGGAGCTGCTGTGCATATTTCTCTCTCTCTCTCCTCTCTCTCTCTCTCTCTCTCTCTCTCTCTCTCTCTCTCTCTCTCTCTCTCTCTCTCTCTCTCTCTCTCTCTCTCTCTCTCTCTCTCTCTCTCTCTCTCTCTCTCTCCTCTCTCTCTCTCTCTCTCTCTCTCTCTCTCTCTCTCCTCTCTCTCCTCTCTCTCTCTCTCTCTCTCCTCTTCTCTCTCTCTCTCTCTCTCTCTCTCTCTCCTCTCTCTCTCTCTCTCTCTCTCTCTCTCTCTCTCTCTCTCTCTCTCTCTCTCCTCTCTCTCTCTCTCTCTCTCTCTCTTTTGTTTGATTAAATTAATATATATATATTCACAACCACATGATGGAGCTGATGTGGTGTTTAGTGAGATGTTCAGCTCTGAGGCCTACGATGGAGGATGTCCTTCTAATTAGGGATGCACAATATATTGGCATCAATATCGGTATCGGCAGATGTTAGTCGTTTTTTCAGATTCAGATTCAGATTTCAGATTTATTGGCCAAGTAAAATTACATTTACAAGGAATTTGTCTTCGGTAGATGTTCGCTCTCTAAAACATACAACAACCATAATAAATGAGAATAAAAATACCTAAAAACACATAAGAACATGAATACCCACACACATGTTCATTTACGCACACACCTATATACATATATACATACCCACACACACACGCATGCACGCGCGCACACACACACACACACACACACACATATCCATAAGCATACTGATTAAGTATTAAAAACTATAGTAAAAGGATGGTAAAATAATCTACAGATTCAGGAGAGAAATGGCTGAAGGAAAGAAACTGTTCTTGTGTCTGGTGGTTTTTGTGTACAGCGATCTATAGCGTCTGCCAGATGGGAGGAGATGGAAGAGAGTAGATGCAGGATGTGTGGCATCTTGGACAATATTCACTGCCTTTTTCCTGGTCCTGCTGATGTACAGTTCCTGGACAGAGGGCAGTTGGGCACCAATGATTTTTCCTGCTGTTTTAATAATACGCTGTAGTCTGCATTTGTCCATTTTTGTGGCTGACCCAAACCAGACAGTGATGGATGAGCAAAGTATGGATTCAACTGCAGCAGTGTAGAAGATGATCAGCAGCTCTTGTGGTAGGCCGTACTTCCTTAGTTGCCGTAAGAAATACATCCTCTGCTGAGCCTTTTTGACGATGGAGTTGATGTTTGTTTCCCACTTCAGATCCCTGGAAATGATAGTTCCCAAGAACTTGAATTAGTCCACCATTAACACTGGGCTGTTGGTGAGGGGGGGCAGCACTGTGGGAAGCTTCCTAAAATCCACGACCATCTCCACAGTCTTAAGGGTGTTAAGTTCAAGATTGTGCTGACTACACCAGACCACCAGCCTCTCAACTTCTCGCTGATAAGCAGACTCATCACCATCCTGGATGAGCCCAATGACAGTGGTGTCATCTGCAAATTTCAGGATTTTTACAGCTGAGTCATTAGAGGTGCAGTCATTGGTGTACAATGAAAAGAGCAGTGGAGAAAGGACGCACCCCTGTGGTGTACCGGTGCTGATCAGCCTTGTGCCAGACGTAACATTGTTCAACCGCACATGCTGGCTCCTATTTGTCAGGAAGCTGGAAATCCACTGACACATAGCAGGGGAAACAGTGAGCTGAGAAAGCTTTGAGGTGAGGATTTCTGGTATAACGGTGTTAAAAGCAGAGCTAAAATCCACAAACAAAATCCTTACGTAGGTCCTTGGTTGATCAAGATGTTCCAGGATGAAGTGCAGCCCCATGTTAATTGCATCATCCACTGACCTGTTTGCCCTATATGCAAACTGCAGGGGATCCAGCTGGTGGCCTGTGGTGCTTTTAAGATGGGACAGCACCAAGCGCTCAAAGGACTTCATGACTACTGATGTCAAAGCCACGGGTCTGTAGTCATTCAATTCGGTAGGGGAGGATTTCTTCGGTACTGGGATGATAGTTGAGCTTTTGAAGCATGATGGAACCTCACACAGCTCCAGCGACCTGTTGAATATCGTTGTGAAGACAGGTGCTAGTTGGACAGCACAGGTCCTTAGGCAGGAAGGAGTTACTCCATCTGGGCCTGGTGCCTTCCGTACTTTCTGTCTCCTAAAGATGTTGCAGACATCCTCTTCCTTCACAAGGAACGCAGCTTGTGATTTAGAGGAAAGAGGAGTAAGAGTGTCCAGGTGAGGGGTGGCGGCTGCCGCTATGCTGGAGTGGAGGAGGGGTGTGACATTCCTTTCCTCAAAGCGACAGTAAAAGCCATTTAGCTCCTCAGCAAGGCCATGATTAGCATCAGAAATGGAGGATGGTCTCCTGTAGTTGGTAATTTGCTGAATGTTTCTCCACAATAATGTGGGGTTGTTGGCTGTAAACTGGTTTTTCAGCTTTGCTGCATACTTAATTTTAGCAGCTCTGATCTCCTTGTTCAACGTGTTCCTGAGTGATTTGTACAGAGGCCTGTCTCCTGCCCTATAAGCCTGCTCCTTTGCCGTCTCAACTGGCTCAGTGTCGCTGTAAACCATGGCTTGTTGTTATTAAAGGTGCGAAAAGTCTTTGTTGGCACACACACTTCCTCACAGAAGGTGATGTAGGATGTCACAGTGTCTGTTAGCTCGTTCAGATCACCTGTGGCATCTGCAAATACTCTCCAGTCCGTACAATCAAAACAGTCCTGTAACTCCTCTTTTGCTTCATTTGTCCATTTCCTCACTGTCCTGATGGCTGGCTTTACAGATTTTAGTTTTTGTTTATAAGTGGGGATAAGATGAATCAAATTATGGTCAGAGAGGCCGAGAGCTGCACGAGGGACAGAGTGGTATGCCCCTTTTTTGACATATCGGTCCCTCATCTCCTTCCTCCGCTTATTCGTCCGGGTCGTGGGGGAAGCATCCTAAGTGGTGCCTCGCAGACAATCCTCTCCCCGACCACGCCTGCCAGCTCCTCAGCTGGGACACCCATGCGTTCTGTGGCCAACCTAGAGATGTATTTCTTCCAGGTAGTCCTGGGTCAACCTAGGGGCCTCCTGCCAGCAGGACATACCCAAAACACCTCCCGAGGGAGGCGTCCAGGAGGCATCCTGACCAGATGCCCGAATCACCTCAACTGACTCCTTTCGATGCAGAAGAGCAGCGGCTCCACTCCGAGTCCCTCCTGGATGTCAGAGATCCTCACCCAATCCCTAAGGCTGAACCCGGCCACCCTGCGAAGGAAACTCATTACGGCCATTCGTGCCCTAGATCTTGTTCTTTCATCACCCAATTCCATCACGTATCAATCCGATGAATAAATCTTGGCTGATATTAACAACAACCCCTTCACCAAGGGGGGGGGGGGGGGGTGATGTGTATTTGTTTAGTCATGTGACGGTCATTGTAATCATCTCAGAAGCGTAAACGCGTGTGTTGTGTGTACATAATAAAGTGAATTCAGCTTTAATAATTTTCATTCTATACAAAATCTGCTGATTTTAGAAGCATTAATGTCAGTAAATCGGTATCGGCAAATATCGGTTATCGACCACAACAGTGATATTAATATCTGATATCGGCATAAAATTTTCATATCAGTGCATCACTACTTGTAATGCACTTTTCTGAAAGAATTTGGGGATGCTCGTCCCTATTTCTATTAGAGAGTAGTCATGTCAGTAGTAGACTAAATGCCCCGCTTTTGTACTTTAGAAATAAAAGAAATTGGTTTAATATGTTTTAAAATGTAGGAATTCATTGCTATAAATATTGGATCTCCCCGAGTCGCAATAAGTTAGATAAAAAAAAAGGGTATTTTCTAAATTATGAGTGTTTGAAACATATCAGGTCAGAAGTATCAGAAATCGGTGTCAACCTTCAGAGCCAGAAATGGTGCATCTCTGACCCGTTAAGACCAGTAACCGTTTCATCACTGATCTAAAACCATAATCTCTGCCTCAAGGCTCCTGGTGTCGGTAAAACTAGAACAGTTTCTGAGACTTAATGTTCCCTTTCTAAATCTGGAACATTCACATTTATGATATATTTAACATAATGTTGATGCCAGTCACAAACTGAAACAAAAAAAGTGTAAATTAATAAAATCATGGACAGTTATCTTACCAAGTCTTAGGAGTTTTAGCAGACAGCTTCAGAAAAATTAGAGTAAAATGACCCTTTTATGTATTGGGACCAGTCGTTTTACTGCAGAAGAAACTAAACGCTTTTTTCACAAAATTAAACCCGTTTTGTTTTAGATGACGAGTGTTGACTTTTCATTTGAACAAATCATCAATGTTCTCTATTTTTCTTATTTGAATTAGTCATAGAATGTGTCTTTTGGCGGAACATCTTGGTTTAGAGCTAAGCCGAGTGAAGGAAGTTCTCTTTAACTGTCCAGTGGGACGTAAATGAGCATTCCAGATGGATTATCTTCCTGGAATCTCCTCCTGGTCATCCAGCTCTATCCTAGCTGAGGTTTTAGCCGCGTTGGGGAGATGGAACCTGCTGCAGGGCTACAGATCTCATCGGTGGGGTTGGATCAGTCATTTTCATTAAAGCTGAGCTCAACATGATCCACAAGTGCCACCGTGAAGCAGCTCAACTCCTGCCTCTTAACTCCGGCTGAGCGTCTTCCACACCGCGTTACATATCCAGACGTCTGAGTGACACGTCGCCATCAGTTTGACCGTCACAGCCGAGCCGCCACGCTCTCAGCCTTATTGGATTAGAGGAGAAACAAATGATTATTGAAGGCGGGCAACAGGATGACCCGTTAAAGGGGATTAACATTATCGACAGCTCAGATGACGGTTCATTCACAGCCTTCAGCTGCAGACACTCTGACCGCTTAACACGTTCCAGTGAGCGTCACACGTTCTGTTAGTAAACTCTTCATGGATGGAGCTGCATAAACACCTACTGCCACCCGGGTCATAGCCTTTTCACTCTTTAGCATTTAAAATTTGCATTTAGTGCTGTTTTTTTCATCATGTTTTAGGTGGAAAGAAAAGAGCAAACGAATGTTATTCTGGAAAATTATACTTTTGTGTTCTGAAATGTGCAAAATCTATTTGCAATCACCTCAGACATGAAAAGATGAAAAAAAAAAGACTTTTTGCTCATTTAAAGGGACAATATGGAAGTTTGACAGTCAAAACATGTATAGAAATAATACATTTTTTCTTCATACATTCTCCAGTAAGACGATGGACTCTCGTGCAGAAGACCTGGGCTCGATTCTGGATATGAATATAGTTTATTTAGAGTTTATTTTTTACATTAATGGTATATTTTTTGACAGTAAGATGCCCACATTTTTATTTGAGACTCGCCGAACGGCATTGAATTCACAGATAAAAAAGATGTGGGTTCAACTTTCATTTTGGAACAATTTTTCAAGCAAGGGAAGGGAATGATCTGAGCATGCAGGAGGACTGACCCATCATAAACCTTTGTCGGCTGTGCTGAAGAGAAAGGTACAGAACCAAATTATTTAATTAGCTGCGCGTTCTCCTGTCCTCTGTCCTCCTGCCCCCCCCCCCCCCCACACACACACACACACACAAAGGACTGTCTCAGCTGTTATTTTCGTTAAGGAGTGTGCACGTACAGCATGCGCGCCTCGTGCACGAGCCTACTATTGAAGCTGCCGTTACGCTTTTGGCCTGAGGGGGCAATCGCGAGCATAAAAATTCAAAACTCCGTAAAGTCCCTTTAAATACAAATATTACAATACAGACGTTCATATACTAGTGTAGGTTAGTGTGAATATTAAAACTTAAGCAAGTAGGCCCTTTTGACCCATATGGGGCTGAAGCTTTATGGTAGGAAATGAGTAAATTTTAGATTAGCGTGTAAAATAAAGTCTACCAAGCTGTTGACCTAATAGTTAAAGGGTTAATCATACTGCCATTATATTAGACTAATTTATTCATACTGCCATTATATTAGCCTAATATAATGTATTACATCCTTTTCTATTTAACCTAAAGTTATTAGTGTCTACAGCACCGAGTTTTCCTTTTACTGCTGCTGCTCCTCACAAAAGCAAAACCCGTACAGAGATGTTGAACGTTTAAATAACTGGAGATGGATTAATAACTTTGGTCTCGGATCAATGGGCTCCAACCATGAAGAAATTCTTTTCCAACAGCCTTTTAAAAAACAGTGGTTGAGTTTGAACTTGCAGCTGTTTTCTCGAGTGGAAACTTAAGCCTTTAGAGGAAAACTGATGTTTACTTAACCTTTAAATCAGATTTGATGATTGGTTCAAAACACCACATACCCAGATGTTTCCTCAGAGATTACAAGTGTTTGTTACCTGGAGAGGTTACTCTGCGTTAGAAAGATTGTTCATAAAATCCAGTGCATTATTGAATTCTACAGAAGAGAACTGGGGCCACTGAAAAGAGGAAAAAAAAATTCTGACAAAAAAATCAGAATACTTTTTCTTCCCAGTGGTCCCAATTTTCTTCCGTATTTTATCATTTTTATTCCTTTGCAGGCCAATAAAATGCCTCTTTTCCTGCAGTGTGGACTTATCCCTATAGCCAACATGTTGCTAATGCATCAAAACAAATGCAACCTTTTCCTGCACAGCAGCCATCAGAGTGATCCACCTTTTAACAAACTTTACATGCATGTTGATGTTTTAGGTGCACACCCGCCACCATGTCATTCTTTTCACTGCCTCCCATAAGCCACATGTGAAGTGAATTATTTTAAAGGTGCACTATGTAGAAAAGAAGTAAAAAAAATGACATCCTGTGGTAAAATTTGGTTACTGCAGCCACTTAAAACAACTCTGGGGCTTTTTGCCTGCCGTCGTCAAATTACAGTTGTGGGCGTTGCAGCATAAACTCGCAGGAGACACGACAACCCCACACTCACTGATGATTAACAGTAGTTACATCCCTCCTTTCTTTGTTTTTAAAGGAGAAAAACTGACAATCCTGCAGCCAGCTGGATATGAAATATGTTTCAGTATAACCTTCCTTCCAAAATGACTGAAACATTACTCTTTTTGGATTTTCTCACTGTGAAATTCTCACTATATTCTTAAATACTGCAGGTATAATGTTCTTTTGTTGTTCAAAAAGCAGGTTTATAGTCAAAATGCATGTTGTCACCTGAGATCCTCTGAGACGTGCATGCTTGAAAACAGACATTTTTTATGCTTTGAGATGGAAAACAGCACATTGATAACATGACTGATGCATAAAAGCAAAAGAAAATTCACATATTGCCTCCATTACATCACAGAACAGGGTAAGACTGTCACTTTTCCAGATTTCTAAAAATCAAACTCCAGATTGCTGCTTTAAAGGTCTTTTGAGAAAACTGATTCAAAAAATGAGTCGGTAAATAACAGAAGGGGGTAAAATCAACCATAAAATGACAACAAAAGTAGTTCTGCAGGTATCTGACGTCATTGTTGCTTTGGTTTCCTTTTAGAAATTGTTGATGGGAATGCTAAGATGACCCTGGGAATGATCTGGACCATCATCCTCCGCTTCGCAATCCAGGACATTTCTGTCGAAGGTAATCTTACATTTTGCATCTTTAAAGTGACTGTGTGTAGTCTCTTGTCACCAAGGCGCAGTATGAACATTTCAGGGTAGTTTTACGCCATATCACCGTGACTGTTGCTAGTTTAAAAACCATTACGGTAATAGTTATCTGTGGAGCAGAAAGCATGCAACCTCGGCCTGACTTCAGACGCCGATGGACCTTCAGTTAATTCCATTGAGAGAATGCAATGCCGATTGGTTTTCTGGTGCTGTACTGTCCGGTTCTGCTCGGGGTCCTGCGCCTGTAGATGACCTCATCCTACTTTGGCAATACCGCTCGGCCAAAATATTGCATCTCTTTCTTGATTCTGTTCTTTCACATCCATTTTGGAAAGAGTTAGAAGTTTTCATTAAATTCATGTTTCTGACTGGCTAAATGATTTGAGCGTGGTAACGTCACCTAACACAAGATATAGGACATCGTCGTAAGGTCTATTCAAAATAAAAACATTTTTTTCATTTACACCTGTAGAAGGTGGCTGCATAATCTTCTTTCAATTGCATATGCTTGTATGACTGATGTGTCTTGTTCTGGTATGGATGACTGTGTGTTCAGAGTTATGTTCTGCAGAACAGGAACCTGCTAAAAAACATTTTTTAATTGAGGCCTGATTGTTTTGGTCTTTTCCTGTTTAATAAATTTGAGTGAATGAATATCTTCCGTAAGTCGTACATCCAGCCAATCATCTAGTGTGATGTCTTTGACAGGTGCAGACCCTAGACCCCGCAGCCTATGTACTTTAGACCCGATTTTTGTGGTTATAGAGTGCTCAGCATATATAAGTACACCCCACAACATTTGTCAGAAAACCTTTCGTTTCCTTTCATAATCAACATTTGAGATACCAAACTGCAAAATACTCCCACATGTGGGCCGTTGATTGCAAACACAAGAAGTGATTTCCCTAACAAATCCATTCAAGCCCATGTTGCACAAATTATAGTCTTAGGAGAAAAGCCTCGCTTAAGACTACAAAATTCAAATTAACTGGCATTCAACCACAGGTGAGTGTAATGATTCATTTAAGAGGTGTCCAACAGACAGGTGACTATAAAAGGGCATTACTTAACAAAGAAAAGTCCTTCCCATTTCATGCCGTCATCAACGGCTCCACGTGGAAGAGAAATGTCACAAGATCTGAGAAAGGAAATAATTTCTTTACACAAGAAAGGTGAGGGCTACAAGATGATCAGCAAAGCTTTACATATCAGTGAGAATACTGAAGCAAAAGTGATCCAAACATTTAAGAAAGATGGAGGTGCAACCATCTTGCAGAGACGTCCAGGCCGTTTGCAGAAGTTAACGTCTCGACAGGAGCGTCTTCTGCTGAGAAGGGCTGAAGAAAGTTTACTGCCGTTATCTAAAGCAGTAGAAAGCCAAACTGGAGTGACCGTTTCCCGTGACATCATACGGCGCACGCTGCAGAGGAATGGCATCGGGGTATCGTCCACGAAGGAAGCCTCTCCTAAAGCCCATGCACAAAAAAAGCACACCTAGGATTTGCTAGGGCCCATGCTGAAGGAGATGAAGACTACTGAGACTCTGTACTCTGGAGTGATGAGACAAAGATCACTGTTTTTGGATCTAATGGTTTCAAAACTGTGGCTTCGTAAAAGTGTGGATTTCAAAGAGAAAGACATGGTGCCTACAGTGAAACACGGTGGTGGCGGTGTCCTTATGTGGGGCTGCATGAGTGCTGCTGGTGTTGGGGAGTTGCCTCTCATTGATGGAATGATCCCAACAATGTACTGCTCTATAGGAGAAGATGCTGCCATCACTCTGTGCACTTGGCCACCGTGCACTTGTCCAGCACGACAATGATCCTAAACACACATCTAAAGCTACTGTTGCTTTTCTGAAGAAGAACAGGGTGAAGGTGATTGGATGGCCAAGTATGTCTCCTGATCTGAACCCAATCCAACACCTGTGAGGAATTCTGAAGCAGCAAGCTGAGCATCACTCTCCACCCAGCATCCAGACTCTAAAAGAGGTTATTCTTGAAGAATGGAGAAGATAGATGTTGCAACATGCTGCCAACTTGTTCATTCCATGCCTAGAAGACTTGGTGCTGTCCTTGAAAATCATGGAGGTCATACAAAATACTAGATGTAGTAGTTTTTGTTACGGGGTGCATTCATTTTTGCTTCAACAAATTTTAGTAAAACTGAAGATTTAGTGATGTAAGTGATATTATTAACCTTCATTTAATTTTATGGAGTTAAACAAGTGTTCAATAAAACCCAGCCTTGGGAAAATACTGGAAATAGTTCTTTTGTTTATTGAGCTGCTGATTAAATTTGTACTTTTTAAAGGAGGCGTACTCATTTAGGCTGAGCACTATATATTACAAAGCCGCCAATATTTTTCAACAACGTTTCGATGGATATTACCAGAGATTAACGGTAAAAACTACACATTGTCACTTTAAGATTTAATTGGGCTAATAACTGAGATCTCAGTGTACCTGTGGGGTCTGGTGTGAGATCGGAACGTCAACCCGGCCTGGTACCTGGTGAGATATCCCAGCAGTCACACAGGCTTCCCATTCACTACACCTCGACTTAATCCACCACTAAACAGAGATTAGATTAGAGTCAGAGTAAACGGTTCTCCGGCCTCACAGTGATCCCTTTCCCTGATCCACAGAGACGTCTGCCAAAGAGGGCCTCCTGCTGTGGTGCCAGAGGAAGACCGCGCCCTACAAGAACGTCAACATCCAGAATTTTCACATCAGGTAAAACTGGACTTGTTGGGCTCCTCTGGAATGATGATATTCTTTTTAACGTTGTGGATGAGTGTCTTGTTGCCTAATGGAAAGACTTGTCACAGTGAAGATGACTTCCTGTGTGAGACACCAGGAAGTGATGACAGACACGAGCTCTAGATTTCATGTGAGATATGATGGACTTCCGTACACCGTGCATTTGTCCTTAACTTAGGAGCTAAAATGACTTGTTTGCAGTGCAAATAGACTATCCACACTTAATTTATATATTACTCACTGTGAATGGCTTATTTACAGCTTTTACACAAAAACACTCCACAGAATATCAAGAGTATCATCAATAGCAGCAGGGTTATGGATCCTCAGCTGGACTGGAGGCTTGGATGCTTCTGTGTTGAATTATTGATGAAAAAAGGCCGCTGTGGTGTTCAGATGTGAATGAAAGCTGAGGCCAGACCTAAAGGTGCAGCGGAGGTCATTTCAGGAGAAGGTAAAAGGCGAGAAGCAGGGACTGTCGGAGCGTTTGATGTGGTTTCTGTCTCACTAAATCTCAGCCAGCAGAGGCAGGTGAGACCAGAAATGATACCGGTGTTTTTATTTTATTTTTATTTTTTTTGCACTTAAGAAGTAAAAAGCTTGAGGTGGCTTTGTAAAACATCCCTTCATGCGCTGCAGGCTCTTTCTCTGGTAGGGGATGGATTTAAATAACCTTTCTTTGTAGCACTGGAAGTGCTGAGCATCAATTTTCCACAACTCGGGATTGATTTGGAACAATTTCTGAGTCCGCTGGGTTTCAGAAGCAGGGACGCCAATCAATGAACCAAAGAAAACCAAACTAAAAATATTCCCATGCTCTCTGAGAGATCTATCCTCCAGCTCCAACCTGCTGTTTTTACTGGTGCAAAAACTGTGATATTTGCATTTTTCTCAATAGAAACAAGCAAAAAACCCACAAAGGGAAACACTGATGGAGGAACATTCTGACATGTTTTAGTCTGAGAACAAAAACTGACCTACATGTAGTAAATGTCTTGAAACTTGACTCCTCAAGGAGGAAACCAGTGAGAACCTGGTTCTTTATTTACATTATATTTAGATTTTTGAGTTTATTAAACTGGAGCCTCACATTTGTTGGTCTTCACAGCAGGAAGTCCTGCCAAAAACTTAATCAAGGATCCGTGTCTGTTTAGTGAACCAGGGTATCACAGAAGAAATCTGTTTTCCTCTGATAACATTCCCGGGATTGTTGCGTGGCAGCAAACTGATTCCCATTTTCTTGTGTGCTTCCCTTTGTTTGTGTTTAATTTATCTGAATAAAAGGGAAGTCTAGCTGTAAGTGACATTAAGAACTGTCTTTTTATCTCACTTCCATCCCAATGACCACTTCCCAACTTTTGCTCCCTCAGCTGGAAAGATGGTTTGGGTTTCTGCGCGCTCATTCATCGACATCGTCCAGAGCTCATCGACTACGGAAAGCTGCGAAAGGTGATAGTATTTCCTCCAATAAATCACATTTTGGTCCAAAAGTCAAAGGTCTGATCTTAAGTGTTGGTGGTCGACAGGACGACCCGATGACCAACCTGAACACGGCCTTCGAAGTGGCGGAGAAGTATCTGGACATCCCTAAAATGTTGGACGCAGAAGGTGAGCTGTGAGGGGACCCAAACCTCTAGTTCTGCTGCGAAGGCTGAAAGAAAAAAGCTTATATATTACTATTGTATATATTCTATGCATTGTAATTCTGTAAGCTTTTACGTCATTGTTGACTTTAAATGGTCACTCAGATGAGAGCAGATCAGCTGCACTGTGAAACTTGACAAACTGCCATGTTGGCAACCATCTTCTCAGGATGCAGATTTCCAGGATCCAACCTTCGAGGTTTCACATCAGCACCTCTGAATCTTTCTACATCTTTGCGTGGCCCTCGTTTTTCCATTATGGTGTCATTTTGGCAGAAATTCCTGTTCCAGTTCACCCCTTGATGCACCAGAAGTGCTACGGCCAAGTTTATTTATAAGGCACTTGCCTAACCCTAACCCAGTACAAAACAGGTGTTAAGCTACAAGTATAAGAAAAGAGGCGATCAATAAACATGGAAGACAATAATCATAAAATGCAGGAAATAAAACGCTATAAGAAGTGAGCTCAAGCTGCTACTGGTGAAAATTATGCTTGAATCACAGAATCAGTTTTGGGAACTTCATAGTTTTTTATAAAAGAGTTATAGAAAAAATTGTATTAACTACTTTAAATTACGGAGCTTGGTCTATGTCCCATTTCACACCAGTTGCATCGTGACACAAATATCCTGCTGGGCCTGTTCCATCCCATAATATCCTCATCAGGAGCTGGGGGCAGGCTTAAGGAGACCCCCTCTGTTTGAGTGGATACTGGATCCTAAATGACTTGGAAGGGGTCAGGGGTCATAACTGGGCTCGTCTGTTTGGTCTAGCTGTTAGCTCATCAGTCCCATTTCTCCAAACAGAGGTTGTTCAGGTTGCTCTACCTTTTACACAGAAACCAGTTAAACATGGACTATTTAATGTCATGTATGTGAGTTCTACTTCCTGTTGCATTTAACTGTTCTCTAACACCTTTGACCCTTCCCGACCCTACATCCTCCTCTCCCTTCCTGACCTCCACTTCTCCCCACAGATATTGTAGGCACTGCCCGTCCAGACGAGAAGGCCATCATGACCTACGTCTCTAGCTTCTACCATGCCTTCTCAGGAGCGCAGAAGGTATCCTGGATGCAGCGTGTCCCTCCTCCTCCTCCTCCTCCTCCTCACACCCCTCCCCCCCTTTTATCTCCCTCTGTGTGCGTGTCTCCTAACGGTATCCTTCTCTCTGCAGTGCACAACCGCTCCCTGCAGGGGTCACTCTCCTTTACTTTTCCGCATGGTTCACGCCACGCCACGACACATGCATGACGAGACTTGAGTGTTTTTAGAGGCGACGGGCACAAGTGTGTCTCCAGTCTGCCGCGCTGTCCCGGTGCGATGGTTCCTCGAACGCAGCCCTGATTAGAGCCTGATTGAATCTGAATGCAGTGGGAGGTGCGGTGATGTTAATCTGAACTGAATGACGAGGAGGATTGCCTGTGATAACAGCCGCGGTTGACACAGATTGGCCCGAAGTCACTCCTGAGGGGAGGTGGAATCGTTTAAATGGATGGTTACGCTCGGCTTTCAGAGCGACGCCTTCAACAGCGAGTGAAATGAAAACTGGCACTTCAAAGTCAAACAAACGCGTCAGCTGTTTGATGTGAGAGTCGCTCCTCTCCTCTCTCTGCCAGAGAGAACTATGGAGTTGATTATTTAACGGTAGTTTGCATCAGAGGCAGGAAAAACGACATGTCTTATCGAACATTCCAGCTTCTACTCGAGCACGTTTTAATACAAACGGCCTCATTTGCTTACTTCTTTTTAAAACACACGACCACAAGGACACACCAAGTCCATTTTTCTGCTGGTTTAAACCCATCATTACCAACCATGCCCCGTCATAGAACAGAGGTTCAGGTTCATCGTCCCTCTTCTCCCACTGCTGTCGCTCTTCAAGGCAAAACAAACACCAGTGCTGAGCATCAGGTGGACTGGAGGTGACCTGTGACTTGTCATTTTGCCCCCTGCTGGACATTTTTTGTCTCTGCACACTTTTACTCTGCATTTCTCTCCCCTCTGTCCTCTCTCCCTTTCCTCTGTTCCCTGGGCAGATATCATTAGCACCTTGAGGCCAGATGAGAAGGCCGTCATGACCTATGTGTCGTGTTACTACCACGCATTCTCAGGCAAACAGAAGGTGAGAAAAGCAAATTGGAGGCTAACTGGCTAGCAGCGAACTCACAGCCTCCAGTAGTTTAGGTGTACAGCTTTGTTTGGCACCATTGGCAACCTTAAATGTGTGTTTAGGAGGCTAATGGACCAAAGAAATGTTGGATCTTGAATGCTGTTTGTTTTTATGGTAGTTTCATTGTAACAGAGAGACAACCACATGACCTCTTCCCTAGGTGTTCCTGAGGATATAATCCTCCTGGGTTGTGTCTGAAACTCCTCCTCCAGGAAGTGTTCAGGACAGTAGCACCAGCAATTTTCAAGCCATGGCCTTGGCCACACCTTGGGGGGCACCCTTGGTCCATGAGACATCGTGACCTCATACCCGACCACCTCAGCTGGCTCCTCTCCATGTGGAGGACGGTCTTTAGTCCTATAACCGTATTTAGGTGAAACATCAGCCGATTTAAACGTTCTCTGTCCGCACAGCGCCGTGGCTGCGGTCCGTTTCAGAGAGGAACGTGATGTTTTGACTTGTTTGGTAACCAACAACAAACGTATCTAGATGGATGATAACAGATCTGTCAAAGCCATTCAGAGCTTCTGATTGTGATGACTTGATTCATTGTGAGCAGCTTTACAGCATAATGACTATAGAGATCTCTCCCTGCACACCCGGTGCGGTGCGTCATCTCAGAGATGCAGCAGAGTCTCTGTAGAGGAATACAAACCCTCACATCTCCCGTGTTTACAGTCGTTCTCAGATCCACGTCCTCGTGGCCCCGGTGGTCCTTCTGAGGAGTCTGGAAGCTGCTGTTTGCTGGAACACTTTGATGGTTCTGGCATGGGTTTAAGTTAGGATCCAGAGCCGGAGGAGCAGTCCGACACCTCCGACTGTAGCCTAGTCAGACATTCCCTCATGAACACCTTCAGTCTCGCTTCTATTGGACTGGTTTACACTTTCAAATATTCATATTTGTTTTCTAAAGATAGCCACAAATGATGTCCGGAGGTAAAATGCAAATCCATCTATGCCTGATTCTGATTGACTTATTAATTCATTGTTTTTAATCTTACAATATAATGAAAATGTCTTAAATTTTTATTTATGACACGATTATGATCTAGCTAATATTATTATTCATTTTTGTCCTTTTGTTCTTAAAAGGCGGCCAAAAACATTTCACCGCATCATAAATTCATTGCATTTTGCATTGCTGTTTTTCCTTAGGAGGATAAAGATTAGGTTAATCAATTAATCCATTTTATGGGTTACCTCATAAAAAAGGTCTTGATTGATGTTATTTTTCTAGTTTTTTCCTCTGCTGCACAGCAGCTGTTTAAAGTCAAATCCTTTCTGGCAAATGTGCTGCAAACAGCCAGCTCAGCAGTAAATGACTGCAGCGTTTAGCAGCTAAAGAGCCTGGATTTCCCTTCAGAGGAGGCAGAGAAGCATGAAAACGCTGGATCAGGGTGGATAGAAACGGTACAGCTCTGAGAAAACGGGCAATGAGTGTTGGCTCATAATAAAAATACATTTATTGGTTATTATAAAAAATGTTTTGGTATTACAATTGTATTTTTGTATAATTTAAGCAGCATCTGTGGAAGAATATTTCAAATTTTCACAATAAAAGCCACTTCCTGTCTAAGAAGCTTTATAGGAGCTTTTGAGGGAACGCTCACACAACCTGGCTCTCCATTTAAGGCCGCTCCTGAATCCTGAGCACCAACTCAGTCCAGCCGAGTTTTCCCTGAGATATTTAGACCAAAGGCTCGATGTAGTCCAGCCTTTGGGATGCCAGCCTCTGAGCTGTGAAGCAAGGTAAGAGGGACTCGCGTTAAAGAGCAACTTAGCATGGGTCTGCGCTCCATGAGGGGGTTTAATACGCCACTTCCTCTTTTCTCTGCTTTTAGAGTTTATCTGGATTGAATTTCGTGCTGCTTTTTTCATACTTGATGCATGCCATTTCAACTCCTGCCTCTTATTTTCTCCAGAAACACACAATCCTCCATTCAGTTATTCAACAGATAAACAAGTGGGCGCCGTCGTTGCTGTATTAGTGGACTCACACGTTAGCCTCACCGTCATGACCCTTATGGAGAATTATCTGAGACAGGAAATGTGCTTTTGCTGCGTCTCACCTTGTTTCTCCCTTGGCCCTCGTCGTTTAGGCGGAGACGGCAGCAAACAGGATCTGCAAGGTGCTGGCCGTCAATCAGGAGAATGAGCAGCTGATGGAGGACTATGAGAAGCTGGCCAGTGACGTGAGCACCCCCCTTTTCCTAGAAACACCCTGCATAACCCCCCTCCCACACCAACCCGTTCCCCATCTCCTTGTTTCTGAGCTGATCCCGACGTTCCTGTGGGGGGTTGTGCTCCGATCAGGACTAGATAGACATGCTTTAAGTTTACTTTCTCACATCCAGACTGGCCTATTTATAGAGTTTTTTTTCCCTGTAATTATAATTATTTGGCAACTGTTTGAAAATTCAACAAATATAATTGATATGTTTAAAATTGTGTTTGAGCTGAAGGGAGTTGTTCTAAGTTGAGTTTAATGTAAATAAATGAGGATAATTATACTTTAATCAAATTCTCATCAAAAAGTGAACAAATGATTACTTTTTAAATTGCATTTATTTTATATAGTCCATGAATTGCTAGACTTAGTTTATTATAAACATGGATAGTTGACTTCTCAGTGGTGCGTTCGTAGCTTTTGACAAGCTCAGACTTATGAGGTCTACCCATGCATTTGAACGCATCGTCCAGCAAGACTGTTATAGTCTGACTTTTGAAAAAAAAAAAAAAATTTTAATTTGCTTTAAGAAAAGTGAGATTTTGAGCAGACTCCTGGTGTTGTCCTGCTTCAGCCTGACTGTGAGATAAAGCAGGAACAGTTTCAGATACATATTAGGTTTAGAGAACTTGGAGTTTAATGCTAACCACTGATTTAATTCTGTTCTTTTTCACACATCAATTACATAAAATGCTTATTTCTCTTCCTCACTGCCACGATTCTCCGATTTCTTCACGGTTTGAACTGCACGTTTCTTGCCTCTTTTTTCCACCTGCTTGATTTTCCTCCATCTGTGCCCCTTTACCTATAACCTTTCACAATGCACACACACACACACACACGCACACACACTTGCCCAAACACCACCATCTCTCCAGCTGCTGGAGTGGATCCGTCGTACCATCCCCTGGCTGGAGAACAGAATGCCCGAGAACACCATGCAGGCCATGCAGCAGAAGCTGGAGGACTTCAGAGACTACCGACGCCTCCACAAGCCGCCCAAAGTTCAGGAGAAGTGCCAGCTGGAGATCAACTTCAACACGCTTCAGACCAAACTGAGACTCAGCAACAGGCCCGCCTTCATGCCCTCAGAGGGAAAAATGGTCTCGGTACGTCGCGGTGGATTATTTGTGAGATCTGAAAGTTTCAGATCTAGTTTTGCTTTGTGCAAAAAAATTTTAAACAAAACTTCTTTGCAGCTTTAATGAGTGACGTTGGCCAAAGAGCTGCATCGACTTACAAACCGTTTAAGTGCAACAACAGAATTTACACTGGATTCTAGTTAAGTAGCCATATAATATTGAATGAACTCTAATGCAGCTTTCACAGCAGGTCTGTCCAAATTTAGCTTTAAATAGTTGTATTAATGAAGAGAGTCAGATCCTGAGGAATCCGCTTTTCCATCCCAGTCTAATTCAGAAGTGTTTATTCACCGAAGTTCTCCGGTATTCTCTGACCCCGTGCAGGACATTAACAACGCCTGGGGAAACCTGGAGGGAGCAGAGAAGGGCTACGAAGAGTGGCTCCTCAACGAGATTCGCAGGCTGGAGAGACTTGACCACCTAGCTGAGAAATTCCGCCAGAAAGCAGCGATTCATGAAGCCTGGACCGAAGGTTGGGAACGTGTGGATGTTTTAAAATAACGTATAGTTCTTTGCATGTGGAGCTGGAGTGTGTGACACTTTAACATCCCTCTTGATGTTGCATTTGCTCTGAACCTTGCCCTGTGTCTCAGGTAAGGAGGACTTGCTGCAGAAGCGGGACTACGAGACGGCCTCTCTGTCAGAGATCAAGGCCCTGCTGAAGAAACACGAGGCCTTTGAGAGCGACCTGGCTGCACATCAGGACCGCGTGGAGCAGATTGCAGCTATTGCCCAGGAGTTAAAGTAAGACATAAAAAAACTAGAGTGGACAGGCTCTAAACGGCCACATAAAGATGATTAATGTGACTACAAGCTGCTGTGATGCAGATAATGATGATAAATCTCCCGTTTTGTTCTGCAGCGAGCTGGACTACTACGACTCCCCCAGCGTTAACGCTCGCTGCCAGAGGATCTGCGATCAATGGGACTCACTGGGAGCTCTGTCCCAGAAACGCAACGAGGCTCTGCAGGTGAGTGGGATGAGAAATTCTGGGGGAGTCCTCAGGGATCGGAAACCTTAGAGTCAAGTGTCTTTTATTTTTCACATCTTTGTTTTCTGCAGCTTTTTATTTTCTTTTAAAGAAAACACGGCTATGAGTCAAAGTGTCTGTTTTATTTCATAAGAACATATCCCCCCAAGTCCACCTGATCGTTGCGAATCTGCTGTATTTTTCATGCTGAACAGAGAACTGAGAAGCTGCTTGAAACCATCGACCAACTGTACCTTGAGTTTGCCAAAAGAGCAGCTCCATTCAACAACTGGATGGAGGGCGCCATGGAGGACCTGCAGGACACCTTCATCGTCCACACCATAGAGGAAATCCAGGTGAGCAAGGATGGAAAATTGAGCTGGAAATGAGAGAGATGTCGTGTCTCATGGATCTGGTCGAATTGAGGATTTAAGTTTCCACACAGTGTTTTTTCATTAACAACAATAAAGTTGTTGACGCGCCTTTTTCTCATGAAGAAAACGAGACGCTGACAAACTAAAAATAGCTCTTTGGTGACAAAAACACGACGACGTGTGGGAGTTATGTTGCAGAGACTAGATGAAAATCATGCTCAAAAGGAAAAATTCTGCCCGTCTCACAAAAGTAACTGTGCTGCTGTCCGTGTCCCACCAGCTGCAGGCGACGCACGTATTCTGCTGGGCGGACCTGCTTCAGCAGCGAGTGAAGTTGGCCCCCCCACCCTCATCAGAAATCCAGCACAAACGCAGCACTAACCACTCTATTTGATGTGGGTTTGAAGCCAACTTCACTCGTCACTCCCGCGTGAACGCACAGCGCGCAGCCGCTCATTGGTGCTACTAGGAGTGACGAGGCTACTTTTAAATCCATTCGTAAAATAAACACGTTTATTTGCTGTCTGCTTCCTGAAAAAGTCATGATTTTGGGCAGATAAATGATAGAAATGACGAATATTTTAAAGTCAGTGTGTCTCTCTGTGCTCCCTGGTTCCTAATAAAGGGTTTAAGCCCATCTAAATGTTAATGAGCATCACTGTTGATTCTCAGGATCAGAACTGGGTTACCGTAAATCCTCTAATACAGGCCCGGGCCTGTATTTGACTCAAGCTCATCAAGCTCCAGGCCTTTATTGGAAGGAGGGCCAGTATAAAGAGGCAGGCCTCTATTTCTATTTGAGCAAAATGAACTAATGGTTTGCTGGAGTTTTTGACAATTAATATTGCGCCCACATTTTCAAAGTTAAACACATTTCTTTTAACAACGGTAGTTTCTGCTTCAGCCATCTCCCCCCTCCCCCTGCGCAGCAGCCGCAAACTCACTGATGCGCCTGCAGCCTCTCGGAGTTCCTGCTGCTCTAAACATTAAAATAATTATTTCATTTTCTGTTCCTCACTTCTGATTACCTTCAATGGCGTTTGTTTGTTGCTACCACCAGGTACAAAAACTAACTTGTTTTTATTTGACTATTTTTCTGTCCTGCCTGTTTATTATCTTCCTGCATCTCCTCTCAATCCTAAAGAGAAACTGCTACCTGGGTTCATATATATTCACCTTATAAGTTACCTTTGAACTGCAGTTCGAAAAGATCTACCGACCGCAAAAACAGCGGAGTGCTCGCTGCTTGCCGGCCGCATCAGTGATCGGTGCGTCACCGGATGACAAGGTGATGCGCCCCGCTCCACAGCGAAACGCATCAGGCGCAAATAAAAGACAGAAAACATCAAAGGAAATGAACCGACATGAACGATCGCGTGTTAAATAATTTTTTGAGGTGGCGACACCTGATTGTTACTGTGGCCGTGCTCAGGACGCAGATCTACCGACCGCAAAAACAGCGGAGCGCTCCCTGCTTGGCGGCCGCATCAGTGATCGGTGCGTCGGAGGACAAGGTGATGCTCAACACTGCAGTTCTTATGGAAAAACATCACTGCATTTAAGTAGGAGGACTTTGCCAAAATATACATGTAAAGACACTTAAGATGGAAGTCTGATACCTCAAATAATAAATGACACATTTCTTTATTTCTATTTAAATATTGTGTAGAATACTCTGTATGCTCCCTAAGAGTCCATTCTGTTATGAAAAGAAAATCATGAATTTATTTTGTGAAAATCTACAGAATGATGCAAAGATCAGCATCAATAAATTATATACAGTTAAGTGGTTTTTAATAAAGTATAAAAATAAATAATGCCATTCTGTTTTACATCTGAGGCAGCCAAGATTGTGTCCCATAGCCCTGAAATAAATGATGTTGCTATGAAACTCACTCCTGTGGATCAGAGTGCACGTCTGACCTATAAATTAATTTAAGACTATTACTCAGTTTAATATTTTTGTACAATTAAAAACAAAAATATTTGTGGACTAAAACCTTTTTGAATTTTTGTCCACTAAGACTATAGACTAAAATGCATTTTTGTCATGAAGACTAAGACTAAAGCTTAGAAAAACACTGATTCCACAACTTGATATAAGTTTTGTTTTAATGTATAATTTTCCATCTTAAGTCTTTATTGATCACACACTTGAATTCTGTTATTTGTAGCCATTGATGGCAGCACCATGATTAGACATAACTCAAAAAACAGGACGGGTGCCATTATGCAAGATTACCATGCATGGCAGCAGGCGTTCACAGCAACCGATCAGTGTGTTTCTTAAAGCAACACTGAATAAGTTTTCTGTTTCTCCCTCCTACTGGTTAAAGGCAGAATTGTAACAGTTGTAAACAAAGCTATCGCAGCCCGCTATTGCTAGTGCTAACAAAGCTAATGCTAACTGATACTAAATAAACAACAAAGATAAAAGATCCACTCTGTTGGACAAAAAATATTAATACTTTTAAGTCATATAGCAACAAAGCCAGGTCACCATCAGTCCATGATTAGCCTTAACTCCCTCAAAGGAGTGTAGGCTGTGCTGACTTTACTCTTAGTTTTACTTCCAGGCTCTGCCATGATGCCAATGAAAAACAAAATTCTTCTTCCTGTTGTGCTTTTTGATGAGGGACAGCAAACTGAAAAAGCTACATGCTAGTGTACCTACCTAAACCATAAAATCCGTAAGTGCAGTTTCTGGTCTGCAGGGGGGAGCAGAGCGATGTCCAGTGTGATGATGTTCACATTTTTACCTCAAAAACCACTAGTATCAGTTTAAAAGTAATAGCCTAAAGTGTTAAACTCTTTAATGTTGTTTTAAAGCCAGTGATGATAAATATATATATATATATATATATAATATGAAAATTATACCTTTTTTGTGAACTAACTTGTTTTCTTTTAGTTATTTTCCCATTTTCATTGAGTTTCAGTAATGTGTGCCCACATCATAAGGTGGTCTCGCGTTCTTGCCTGACATTCTTCACGAAAACTGTTTTTGTGCAGGGAAAGGCGCATGATCATGGTTCTAAAGCAAAAGTCTGAGGTTGAACATCCAGTAACTCCATGACTGACTTATTTAGGCCATATTTTGTTGTGTTTTAGGGACTGAGCACAGCCCACGAGCAGTTCAAAGCCACACTGCCAGAGGCTGATAAAGAGCGCATGGCCATCCTGGGCATTCACAACGAGATAGCTAAAATTGTGCAGACTTACCATGTGAACATGGCCGGCACCAACCCCTACACCACCATCAACCCACAGGAGATTAATGCCAAATGGGACAAGGTAATCCGAGCCGTACGCATGTGTGTTGTTATTTGATAAACAGACCAATCACATAAAAGGATCAAACACTTGGATTCCCTCTTCAGCTCTTCAGGATCTCTGAACATCAGTCGAATCAAGCCAAAATAACCCTCTGATAGAAATTAAAAATAAATGGGACTGGTGGATATTTCATCATGTGGTTAAATAATTAAAGTGTTTGGAAGTGGAGCACAAGGGAAATGTTACGTAACGAGTAAAACATCAGTATGAGGTCGGTCTATTTTGTGATGCGAAGCTTGAAATTAGTTAAACATCAGTGTATTTTTTGTAATTTCCTAATAAATGCTCTACACATTTAGAGTAGAAGAAGCTGTTGGACTGCTTAGACAAATCGACCCAGCCCCGTTGTACATTCTGTGTTGAGCTCTTCCATCCCTCCGCTGCAGGTGAGGCAGCTGGTGCCTCAGCGCGACCAAGCTCTGATCGAAGAACACGCCCGGCAGCAGAACAACGAGCGTCTGCGCAGGCAGTTTGCCACCCAGGCCAACATCATCGGGCCCTGGATCCAGAACAAGATGCAGGTCGGTGTGAGCGCCGGCAGCAGTTTAATGATCAGAGTTCAGAAAGAGGCCAGCATGGAGGAGTTGTAAAAAATATGCCATTATTGGTGGTCAAGAATTTGTTTTTAACAAATTATAGTAAATACCCCCCCCCCCCCCCCTTCCAAAAACTCATAAAATACCAAAAGAATAAGTTCATATACACTCAGATATTAAAGTGCAGAATTGTACCTTTAGGGGTACAACTGGTGTGGTACCTTCAATGGTACCATTTTGTACCATCAACTGTGGGTACAAATTTGTACCTTTTTACATGCCAAACCCGTACCTTAGGGATCAAATTTGTACCCTTAAAGTACAAAAAAGGAGGACATGCAGAGAGACTGCAGACCTAGATGTGAACCTGGGACCTCCAACTTACACGAAAACTGACAAGACAAAAATATCAGAACACAGATGCAAATTCAAAAGTACCTGCTACAAGGACCGTGTCAGTATGACACCCATGTGAAAAGCCAGGATTTTTATTTTCCTGAGAGAATTTCATTCTGTACCAACCAGATCATTTTTACTTTAATGTCCTATAGCAGCGGTTCCCAACCTTTTTCCCAAGGGACCCCGTTTTTTACCAGTCAAATTTTTGACCACCCCCTCCCATTCTCTCTTCCAGTACAAACATTATTAAGAAATGATAAAATTGTTCAAGCACATTTTAATATGCTTTGATTCAATAGATAACAGTAATAGTAGGCTCCAGTACAGAACAAAGTCATTAACAAAACCAAACAGAGCATAATGTGCTTGACAGTTTGTATTACTTTTCTGAACACATTGTTTCTTGTAAACACTGATAAATCAATCATTCCTTTCAATAAACATTTGACACATAAAAAATACACTGAGAAAAATGTACTTAAATGTGTATATTACTGTTTATACTAGAGTATTTACTGTAAAGGCTGTGATTAATCAACCAGTCCTATCTTTAATGAACTTTTGACACTTGAAAATAAAACAGTGAGCTGAGCAAAATGTTCTTAAAAGTGTGTTACTTTTTCTGTACTAATTATTTCCTGTCTTAATATCAGTAAACTTTTCACTCATGAAAAAAAATGTGAGCAAAATGTAGGCTATAACAAGTAATAAATGAAGTTTTAACCCCTTAAAGTGGAGAGGTCCTGTCGACCCACTGAGAGGCTTTGGCGCCTCCTTGTGGGGGTCGGGACCCCCAGGTTAGGAGCCACTGTCCTAGAAATACCAAAAAAAAATAACCTTGTTGTTGTTTACCAACTTGATAGACATTAAACCAAGAGCATCTCGTCACATTCTCTACTTTGCTGGTCAGGAAATTGGCCGCATCTCCATCGAGATGCACGGTACCCTGGAGGACCAGCTGACGCACCTCCGCCAGTACGAGAAAAGCATCGTCAACTACAAGCCAAAGATCGACCAGCTGGAGGGAGACCACCAGCTTATCCAGGAAGCTCTCATCTTCGACAACAAGCACACCAACTACACCATGGAGGTAACTATGACAATCAGATTCCTGTAAATTCCAAATATCTGATTGGTTAACCCTTGAAGCAACAAGTTAGTTTTCTACAAATGACAAAACTTTTGTTTATATGGAAACTCTTTGTCCTTGATTACTGATATGCTGACATCACAGGCTACCCACAATGCACAAGGTGCAGAAAATGTAATCAGAATGAAAACTTTAGTATTTTAGCCAAGAAAATTGAATTTCAGGCTCCATGAAAAACAGTGAATTTAAAAATTAATCATCATTTGAACAAAGAGCACTCGTCTTTACCTCTGAAACCCCTTTAAATATCCATGTCCTCTTAACGTTTGGTCGTCTTCTCCTCTGCAGCACATCCGTGTGGGCTGGGAGCAGTTACTCACCACCATCGCCCGTACCATCAATGAAATTGAGAACCAGATCTTGACGCGAGACGCCAAAGGCATCAGCCAGGAGCAGCTGAATGAGTTCCGGGCTTCCTTCAACCATTTTGACAGGGTCAGTACTGCTTCAGACAGAAGACAGGTCTGCACAGGTCGGTCGGTCAGTCAGATGTCTGGACATACATGCATAAATACATGCAATGCATGTATTTATGCATGTATGTATGTATAAATACAACAGGAACAAGTAATGTTGTGCTGCAGCTTTTATTACATGGATAATGAAATAAAATGGATCGTATTTAATAATATTTTAATCACCCCTTCTATAAACCTCCACCTCTCCTACTTTCATAAACTGTTTTATTTATAAGGGTGAACATGTGACCGGAGCAGATATTATTGCCATTTAAAAAAAAGCTTGCCATCCAACTCTACTTCCCAAAACTGTGAGCAGTAATTAGAACCAGCAGGAAGTCAAATGTAAATTTGAACTTGATTTAATTTCTAATTGTAAAGGTTTCTGCTTAGTCAGGTATGTAAATAAAAAAAGTTAACTCAATACTAAAGACCAAATCATAATATGTTGAATATATTTACCTAAATATTCAGATTTAAATTGAAATATTTTCACGTGTTAATATATAATCATGTTTAAACTAGGGGTGGGCTTCAATTAAAAATAAATGTATCTAATTAATTAGTCTTTGTAATTATTAAATATTAATTAATCGCATTTTAATCATTCATGAAAATTAGCCACCAAACTATTTTTTATTAAAAATAATGAGGCAGAGAATCAAATGTTAAACGTGGATATTATATTTTTGTAAACTCAAGCTCTTAATTTCTGGAGAAAAAAAATAAACTATGCTTTTTAATTATTCAAATGTCACTGTGTTAAATGAAACAAAACTCCAATCAACTAAAATTCATAAATGCAAATAGAAAACACCTGCAAATGGTTCCTGAGCCTTTAATTGATCTCTCAGTCTAGTTGAATGGACTTTTGCACCATATTCAAAATTTTTCTGTTTCACTTTTATGTAATTGGGTGTTTTTATTAGCATTTCTATTTCTCATAATTTAGTAAAATTACTTTGAATTAAAATCTGCCATCGCTATTGGCTAAGAGGTACCCTAGAACGTTGGTACCATATGATGTCACAATGTTGTTGTGAGCCTGTGAGTGTGTATTTGTTAGTGGCTCCGCCCTCTCATTCTGCTAGGCAACAGCATTTGTTGCAGTTTTCAAACCGGAAGTGGGAGCGGAGTAATACTCTGGTAGAGGGTGATTTGCTTTATTGTGACATCATAAGGTACCAGCTAACATTCTAGGGTACCTCTTATCCAATAGCGATGGCAGATTTAAATTCAACTGCAGTACAGAGTTTTTACCTGACAACGGCACAACACTGACAGTTTTAAGCAGAAAACTTAAATTTTAACTAAATGCACTAAAGTGCTAAACTATCTACTACACGTGTCTGCAGCACAATTAGACACACATGTATATGGTTAATCAGGAAAATAAGTTGATTTGGGGGTGACTTGCTCTTTAAATTTACTAACTTGGAGGGTGACTCGCTCTTTAAATTTACTAACTTGGATCAGACCCAGACGAGGAAGTGCTGAAACTGGGTGAAGACACTTTAAGGAATTAATGATCGAATTAATGATCTGACGTAGAGCTGGGCGATATGGCCTAAAATCAGTATCACGATATATTGAGGATTTCATCTCCAACGATAAACGGACGATACCTACAGGTATGCGCAGAAACAAAATATGTCCACTAGATGGGGCTGTCACATGTATTACGTTGAGACATTTTTTCGTGACTCAACAGCTTCTTAAAGGGAAATGAATGTTGCCAACCTACAAACACCTTTTCATTTTTTTATTATCAACTTTATTGACATGGGGGAAATTATCATGATAAGAGTCAGAAACTTTGATAACGATACATTTTCGATTGATTGCCAAGCTCTAATCTGATGTCATTCCTTACATGGGAAGTCCCGCTCTCACATCAAGGGTATAGCTGCAGACCTGCAGATTCACACCTGCAGCAGCTAACCTTTAGGTCTCCAGGTCTGCAACCTGATCACATCTTCCTTGTTCCTCACTGGCCCTGCATGTAAACATTCGCCCCTTTAGCTCCGATCAGCAGACGACCGCTTCGACACACTTTGTGGCTGAATTATAGTAACGTACGTAACGCATAGTCAGTCACTCGTCTCAGAAAAATGTAGCAAACCAACGGAATTGTTTAGAAAATTATCAGTTTTAGGAGCGTTACTGTTGCTTTAAGACATGTTCTTTGACTGTTTAGAGTAGAGAACACGGAGCATTTTCCCAGCTGTTTGTCTGATTACTTTCATAAACTAAAAGCAAAACATAATTCTGTCTGATGTCACTGCTGCACAAATGTTACTACATTAGGAATTTAGCTTACGGGACTTGATAAATCTTCAGGTGCGCAGATCAATAAAACAAGCGCTGCATGCAGCAGCAGCAGTGAGATCAGAGACGACCTCTTAAAAATGTCCATGTGACGGACTCCGTAGTTTTCAGGACGCATTTTTCACAAGTTAAAACAAGAGGCCAAGGTGTTTCCTAAATGCTGCATCAGTCCAAGCAAGGCACTTCTCTTATAATTTAGTAGCAGAGCAAGGCTGCTTTGTTGTGTGTGTCAGTGAAATCAGCGTACCCAGAAATCGTGCAACGACAAAGGCTCCGCCTTTTTGAATTTCAACCTGTGATTAAATGTGCAAAATGTTTTAACAAATCATTTTTTTCTAATCAATTAAAATTAATGCGTTAAAGTCCCACCCCTAGTTCAAACATTTCCTCTTACTGTCATTTCTTAAAAAATCGTAGTGATATTGACATCCTTTTACTAACCAAATGGAGAACATGCAGCTGATTTTATATGTATACATTTATATGCAGCGCCCCGTAGTTTAAAGGCCAAGTTCACTGATAAAACTGTTTTTACCCGTTTTTGAAATATGAACGGTTGCTTTCTGAGGTTAACATGCAGACATGACAATCTTTCACCCCCATTTCCTGCATTAGGCGCTGATAAACAATAAACGGGGAACTCTCAGATCGGAAAAGCCGGTGACATTAGTACAGCGATGAGCATTCATGGCCTCACCCATCTTGGCTCATGACAGGGAAGGCTGTTGTTGGTTTAGCATCCAGGAGAGAGCAGAGCACATCTTGGCTAGTAGAAGCTAACCATTAGCATTAGCAACTCCACAACACAACGAAACCCCGTCAGGCTTGTGTTATTTGTGGATATAAAAGATCAATGTTGCAGAGCAAAGAGTCAGTGGTAGAGTCGTGTTGCTGTTATCCAATCATCAGCAAGATGTCCCAAAACCAGGAAAAACTCCAAATCCTGCTGTTTCCTGCTCCCCACTGCTGTGGCTAACTTCTAGTTCCTTGATCAGGAGCGCTAGAGCTTACTTCCGACAGAGATCGACTCACAAGGCATTGATTTATACTAAAGACCTCTGCAAATGTGTTAAAAATCAAGTGAACTTGGTCTTAAACATGTTTACATATCCTGAAAGCATTTGGATATGTGTAAATCTTCATTTACACATTTAAACATGAAGAAAAGTGATGTTGTCCTGTTTCTAAGTTGATACAGTGTGGTATTGTGTACTTGTGCCACTGATGAATAACCCCACCTGAAGGGCCGTTGGTCTGCCTGCCACACTGCACATTAACTCCTCTGAATGCCTTGGCCCAGCATGGCAGCACTGCTGCCACTGTGTGTTCACCTGCCACATCTTAATAAAGATGCACCTTTTCTCTGTTCTCTGTCTCTTTTGCATGACCCCTCTCCCTTCACCCCCTCACCCCTTTTTCCCCCTCCTCGTGCATGGACCACTCCCTCCACACACCACCTCACCCACCTCCTTGTCCCACCTCCCCATCACTGACACTGCTGTATATGTTGCTGCATGGCCCCGACGCCTCGCCTCACCGGGCACTGGCCTTCCACACACCAGGACCATTCGGGCACTCTAGGCGCGGAAGAATTCAAGGCCTGCCTGATCAGCCTGGGCTTCGATATCGGCAACGATGCACAGGTACTTAACCGCAGCCACACCCATGCGGTGAGAGGTTTAACTGGTTTTTTTTCTCCTCCTTTTGCACTTTTCCCCTTTATTCTTCCATCCCTTCCCCTTTTATTCTCGTCTATGCTCTCTTGTCTGAATGTGCTTCTTCGTCTTCCTTATCTTGCAACGTCCACATTATGGATTGTTGTGGTTTTCCTGCTTACTTTTCAACCTTTATCCCCACATCCTCCTCCCATCTTTCTCTCCCCCTCCTGGTTTTGTTTGTCCCCTGCTGACCTTGTAGAAGAGAACAGGAATCATGGATGCTGATGACTTCAAAACCTGCCTTATCTCCATGGGTTACAACCTGGTAAAGCCATGAGCTCTCTCCAACTTATTTTGTATCCAGAGCTGCTGGAATTGGTAATGCATGGAATTCAATGTTGTTTCAAATGGAAACCAGTTTTTTCTGCAGAGTTCTGTTCTGTAAGGACTCATGATGGAAGATTTGCACTCAGTACCTAAAAATAAACATATGGTCACATCATGAAGCTAAAAGATGGAAATGTGACATGTTCTCTCTGTTGCCACCAGGGTGAGAATGAATTCTCCCGCATCATGAGCATAGTGGATCCCAACAGAATGGGAATTGTCACCTTCCAGGCCTTTATAGACTTCATGTCCCGCGAAACGGCTGACACGGACACAGCAGACCAGGTCATGGCGTCCTTCAAAGTACTTGCTGGGGACAAGGTACAGTAGCACATCAGACCGTAGGGATGTTCGCCGGCGAGTCCTAACATGAGTTTAAAGTTTATTTAATGTTTAAGTAAAAACAGAGAAAACTATAACTGTTTTCAAGAAAATGAAACCTTCAGACATGAAGTACGAAGCTGCCAATGTGAAAGGATGCATCTGATTGTTGGTCATGTTTGAAACGGACTCATTTCTTTATTTCACAGCACTTTGTTGTTAGAGGCAGGCCATCTTTTCATTTTCTTCCTATTTTGTTTACAGTGTTGGGAGTAACGCGGTACAAAAGTAATTAATTACTGTAATGCATTGCTTTTTGCTGTAATGTGGTAATGTAAGGCATTACAGGGAAAGAAAATGGCAATATTTACTCGGTACAATTGTCAGTAACGCGGTAATTACAATGCATTTTTTAACCCAGAATCAAGATGCGGGTTTCTTAAAAATTAAAATTGCGGAAAGCTCAAAATAAAGATCCGGTATCTACATGTATGACGTCATTTATGGACTCCGCTTTGCGGGAATTCTATGAGCAGAGAGGACGCAGCGGTAACGGCTCAAATACTCCAGCTGCGTCCTGCGCTCGGCCGCTGTTATATTCACAAAATCGCTCCACCAAAACAAAATAATTCACTTGCGATCGTTCATATCAGCCCATATTCCCTGTACTTTCTGTTCTTTTCTGACGTGCTTTGCCTCAGCTGAGTTCGTAATCTGTGCCCTCGCCCGGTGATTTCAACTCATTTGCTGCTGGAGCGCAGCGCGTATGAAGCTTTTTTTTTTTTTTTTGCGTTCGGTGGATCCCTTTGGCTGATTGGTTAGAAAGTAGGAAATCTAGGAAACAGTTTTTCTGGAAGACGGAGAAAACATGCAGCATGCAGGAAGGTTAGAGAGAGAAAGGGCCGGAAATTATTCAAATAAAATCAAGAAAACAAAACAAAGTGCTTGAAAAGAAAAAAAGTAGATAGATGTATCCCCAATACACATTTTTACCAGTGAAAAGCAATAATATATAAGCATTTAATATTTATACATGTGATAGAATCAGATCACCCCAGAAGTCAGTCCCACATCCAGGGCCGTATCAAGGCATTTGGGGACCAAGGCAAATATAGGCTTGGAGCCCCCACCACCTCACTCCCTGCTCAGTTAATCTAAGATGGCAGCGTGCTGAGAGTACAGATTGTTGTTGCTTTTATTTAATAAAGAACTGTTATTATATCTGACTGTTTTTAACAGCAATGCTCAGACACCACATCACCTTCCTCTGGATGTGTCATGAGTTCACCGAGCATCACATGATCTAATTCATATTGAAATTGTTTTGGTAAAAGTAACTTAAATTAATGCTAAAGTAGTGTAATGCCTTACATTTTAAAATAAGTAATATTATAATGTAATCAATTACATTAAAATGAGGGTAACAAGTAATAAATAATGCATTACAGTTTTGAAGTAACTTGTCCAACACTGTTTGTTAATTAGTACATTTATTGGGTATAATCTGCTGTTTTACTGCTGAGGTGTACAGGGATGCTTTCAAATTGTAGATGAACAAAACTTCCTAATTTTATTGCAGTTGGAATCAAAACGATTAAAAATGTTTAATTTAGTGTGGATTTTCTGGGGAGTTGCTGAAACTGCTGCGTTTCAAACACATTTTGTTGAAACTGAAGCCATTCGTAGCGGACTCTGGTGTTGCAAGCTGCATTTATTAGAATTCTGCAGCAGAAATGAGTAAAAAAACATCTGTCTAAACTAACTTTTTCATCCTTTGATTTAAATATAAAGTTTTATCTGTACGATGTGTTCTGATGCGGCAGCTGAATTGTAATTTTTTTACTTTTAATAAATAATGTTCTCTTTTATGGTGCGCTGAGAACAGAAATGGAAGAAAATAAATGATGGGAATAAAAATAAGAATAAGAACAGTTTATTGTAGCTGCTGCTCATGCTTAACCATATTTGTGTTTTTCTCTAATCCTCGGTAGAACTACATCTTAGCTGATGAACTTCGTCGGGAGCTTCCTCCGGACCAGGCTGAGTACTGCATCGCCCGCATGGCCCCTTACACCGGGCCCGATGGCGTCCCCGGGGCCCTCGACTACATGTCCTTCTCCACCGCTTTGTATGGCGAGAGTGACCTCTGAACACTATCCTCCAGACCCGGGACCACCAGCCTACCTGCTCCAGTCACCACCACGTTCTCACACAATCACCACACTCCTGTACTACCACGCTTGTGTTTTTGTACGTTTCTGGCCTTATCTTTTTGTCCGTATCCTCCATGTTGTTTCTCCCTCAGCCTGTTCGCCGCTCCCTCACCTTATTTGCTTTCCATGCAATGCAGCTGCTCTCCAGGTTTACAAAGAGTGGGAAAAAGAATTATTTTGTTTGTTTTTATGTTACTTGTTGTCATTGTTTTTCCTCAAAAAATGAATAAAGTAAACATATTTTATTATACTGAACAAAAAAGGTATTTTTCTTCACCTGATTGAAATAAGAGAAAAAGTTGTAATAAAGATTAAAGATGCTGTTCTCTCTCCTGTCATTCTGTTCACAGAAGGCTTCATCCTTGAGTGTTTAGTTTCTGACTTGGTGCAGCTATCAGACTATTCTACATCCTTGATAAAAAAATAACACAGAACTGTTGTAATGGTTATAAAACTTAAATATTTTTATTGGCTCTACTTTCTGATGGAAGTTTAATGGATGACTAATACTTATTCATTGAATTGTTTTTCTAATTCAGAATATTACAACCTAGTGTGTGTAATGATTATGATACAGGTTTGTTTATCAAAAAGGTTTCGTATAATAATCTGCCACAGTCCAGTGATAAATTGGGTTTTATTAAAACTACAGGTTGTAGTTCACAAGTTTTTGAGCATTTCTATTCATAGTTCAAAAAGTACCTGTAGTACAGCAGTGCCAAATCCTGATTATTTTACAGGTTTTTCTGCTTTAACACGTCTGATTTAGATCAGTGGGCTATTAATAAACTTCTGCAGAACTGTGTGTTGTGCTGAGCAGGTAATTCAACTATTGAGTCAGGTGTGTTGGAGCGAGACAACAAAACATGCTGGATGGAGTCCCTCGAGGAACGGGGTTGGATTACAGTACTGTAGCATAATCAACATCTGAAGTGACCTCCGTGATGTAATAGTTAAATTGTTGGCTATTTACGTTGATCACTTGCATAAATGCAGCTTTATTGCAAGATCAAAAGATGGAAAATATATATTGTGATTTTTAGTGATCACAGGTTCAGTTTGAATCTATTCAGTTTTTGGTGTTGAGCTTATTTAACCTCCTGAGACCCAAACTTGTTTTTGATGCAATTTAAAAGAAAAAAACATCTAGTTATTAGATTAGTCAGCTCTCATTAATGGAAACAAAATTACAAATATTAAAATAGAATCCAATTCAATTAAAATGCTTAATTTCCTACAACAAAAGAAAGAAAACAAATGTTAACGTCAAGCTCAAGTGTCTATAAAAACAAAGGTCTCAGTTGAAGAAAATAAAATTTTCTAGTGCTAGGAGCCGATGTTCATATGTGGACATGGGGCCCTAGAAGGTTGAACACCCCTAGACACTAGTGGGCTGCACAATAAAACCTGTGGTTTGTGCTGCAAAAGAGAAATAATGATCCTGTTTGGTGTTTATTAGCTCACCAGTCATCAGTGGTTTGGACTTAATACTGGATATGCAAAAATGTTTAAAGATTAGAATATAAGAACATACTATAATGGTGTAGAAACAAAATTCTTGCAGAAGTTGAGGTGAACATGATTAAGTTTGGCAACAAAGATATAATTCTTTATCAAATGTGGATTGGGTACATTAAGTTTGTACAGTTTGACGAAGCAATATTCTAAACTTTTAATCTAAATGTTATTGTCTAATCGTTTTTTGTTTTTTAGTTTTCTAGCCCCTACTGGGCAAAAAGACACGTTTAAATTTATGGACACATTCACCTAGGAACTATTTATCGTTTACTTGTAACTGCTCGGGACTTTTAGCCCGTCGGACCTGTTTAGGAAGCCATTCCCAGCTGTGACCTGTTAGCTGTTCACAACAAATGCACGTGTAGCCAAAGACAAGTCATGTTTACTTTGAGGACTTTACAGAGAAATAAAACCGTGAAATATGGAGTTCCTATGCTTGTAAGTAGCAGTTTTAGTATTTGGTATTTTATTTTATTTTATTTATGTTACAAAGAGCTAGCGTGTAGCTAGCTTGTTGGCTGTTGTGGGAAAACAACGGATCAGAAATAGCGCATTTTCCCCCAGGGATAATAAAGTCAAATGTAATCTTTAAAGTCTTTTAGTTATTTGACTTTTCAGCATTAGACGTTTTAACGCAGGTTTTTGCTGCTAGTTTCACATTTTTTCTGGCACATTTCAATGTCATGTTAGTTACATCACTTCACATTTGCAGTTTTACATACAGCTGTCATATTTTTAACGACAGTAGATATTGTCAATGAAGTGGTAATGTAATATAATCATGATTTAATTTACAACACCCTTATTAGATGTATTAGTCTAACCTTTTGTGGCTTTGAACTGCATTCAGTGCTCAAGCAAAATCTTAAAACTGACAAAGTAGCCTCTTATCTTTTTGAAGTTTGAGAAATGGCTAATAAAATGTGCCTTAACGAGTCATCGTGAGCTCAAATATTTTTCTGATTTAAGTCCAAATGCCCATGAAGTTCCTAACCAGATGTGTTTTATTTCAGTTGCTGATAGTTGGTGGCTCCTTTGGCCTTCGAGAGTTTACTCAAATCCGATACGATGCCCAGAAGATCAAGAAAAGGGTTGGACTTTAATTACATGAACTTTTTTGTCATCATCAGGGTTTTTATTGGTCATTGATCTTGTTTTATATATATAAGTGATTAAAACTGTAACAAAAAACCCTTATGAGACATAAAAATGAAACTAGTTGTGATGTATGTGTTAGTCATCAAAATAAGGTGCTGGAAACCTCCAACATTTACATTAAAATATCTCTGAACGAGGCGGGATTTCTAAATCTGTGGAATCACAAATCCTGGTTTAATTTCTCCAAGACCAGAATGTGCAGGCGCCTCCTAGTGGTAGAAAGTGTCACTGTGCTTTTAGTGAACAAAAATCTTAGATATTTTAAAAATAGCAATAAATCAAATTCACTCCTATTCCACATGTGTCCATCACTAATGGGCATTAATCTCCTTTTATGTGACTGCACTCATTTGAGAACAAGCCCGATGTTTCATCAAGTAAAAGCTAATTTATTACCACGAGAGGAGAGAATCCTAACTTTATGAGCTGTTATTTCTGTGATCTGGGACGAGTAGCTGTTTTATTTGTTTGGACTGAAAATGGATGTAAGTCACCTGGGTGGGCCTAGATGGTTGGGGCTTTGCTTCTTATCACTTCTGTCGTGATGGAGCAACAGAAGATGCTTGAGGAGGAGCTGTGTCTGTGCACACCCACAACTCGCTCTCCTTCACTGGAACATGCAGCACTTTCACACACTGTAGAGATCCGTTTTCTGCTCAGTGTGTGATTTAATCCTGTAAATATCTGAACTGTTTCAACAATGTGCATTATTAAAACCACTCTTCACATTCTGGTGGAATTATAATTGGCTGGTTGCATTAGTTGGTTCTAGCAGATATTAAATCTAGGCTGGGAGGAAGTCTGGAGTGATGTCATTAGCATTTTCTTTTTAGTGAAATCATATCGCCTGAAGGCAAAGACTAACTTAAGGGCTTTTTTTCCTCGTCTGTTCGGGTTTTTAACATTCCTATTAGGTTGTCCTCCCAGTTTTACTGATTTATTTATTTATTTATCTAATAAAGTTTAAGCTGTGGGTATTGTATTAATTTCCGAGACCATTAGTTTGACAGCTGCAGAATATTTAATGTAATATTTATTAGTCTTGGTAATGTGACTCTAATTACGAGTCAATCATGGAATTGTGAGACTCATCCGTCACACACAAAACTTCAGAGCTTTTCCTTTGAAATATTAGAACTCATTAAAAGTAATGACTAAAAATGGGATTCATTTGGGACCTATTTTTGGAAAAATCCCCATTAGAATTGCAAAGAGAGCAGCTCTGGACCAAACTGTCACCCGCAATCCTGCAACACCACTTTGTTTTTTCTCAGTTTAAGTTTTCTTCGTAGGTTTGGAGGAACTCAACTTGGTCTGTTGAGGAAAAATTCCCTTATGTCACTCAAACGTATGAAAGGAATGTGATTCTTTTCAGGCGTTATTCGTTGTTTGAAGAGAGACGTGGTGCTGCTAGGTGCTGTCAGAAATGTCTACTGATTTTCTCTATATTTGTCTTTTTCCACATATAAAAATGATATTCAAATGAGGAGATCCTCCACCTGCAGGAAAGATGAATTTCTTCTGTCTCCTTTATCAGTTGGATCCTTCACTGGAGGCTAAAGTGGACTCCCAGAAGCAATCGGTCATGCTGGAGGAGGAATATGAGGTAGGTGACTCTTGGGATGTGTTTTATGCTGTCATGATTTTCAAACTGCTTTCGTCACGTCATTTTGAGTGTGTGCTGCAAGGAGGATGCTGGTAGTGGGTTCAAAATCCGGCTATGTTCAGTCTGAGCGGAGTTCTTTTCGTACATGATTGGGTTCACGGTGGACTTTGTTTTACGATCACATTTTTGTTTCATCAATCTGCAGGTGAAAGAATGTTTACTCTTTTACTTTTTTTTATTGGACCTATTATGTAAACTCACCTTTTGCATCCTTTTGTGCTGCTATGTGGGTCTCTGCTGCCTCCATAAACACTCCAAACATGAATAAAAAGTCCATCTGTTTCTTGTCAGGGTTTATTCGGAATTATGTCTAAAACAAGACGGGTTTTTTTAAAGTCCCACCTACCATGTGCAAGAATGAGCTGCTGCTGGAGTAGTAGCGGCTCTACTCTGAGCCCCTCCTGGACATCAGAGCCTCAGCTCATAGCAGCCTGAGCAGGGGTGGGGGAGCCAGCTCCAGCTTGTTTCTTTAAAGTGACATAGTCCTGAAACGACTCATTGTGGAAGGTACTGAAACTGGACAGTATGGAGCTCCCTAGTTGGGATGCTGCCCCCGCGACCCGGACCTGGATAAGCGGAGGAAGATGACGACGACTGAAACTGTGGAGAATAAAACTGCTGAATTCACTTCATTTGAGCGGGTTAGGGTTAGGATATTTTATTTTTCCTGGAGCTTGGAAACACTCATGTTGCATTTGTGCGGTTGGAGCGGTGCAACGTGTTGTTGACATGGTGACTTTTGAATGCTGATGTTTGTAAACCATCCGGTATTAAACCAAATCTGCTGCTGTATGTCTGGGAATCAGGTGTTAAATACAGTCATGACTGTTTTTCAAAACTGTCATTAATAGGATTTAGTTAGAAGTAAAAACAGAAAATCAACACTAGGGCTGCAACAACGAATCGATAAATTCGATGAAAATCGATTACTAAAAGCGTTGGCAACGAATTGCGTCATCGATTCGTTGTGTCGCACAACTCTTCCAAAAGCGCCCCCCCCCCCCTCCCGCCCGCCGTTGCGCGCAGACCAGAGCAAGTCAGATCAGCGCGAGGGAGAGCCGCAGATCAGCGCGAGCGAGGGAGAGCCGCAGATCAGCGCGAGGGAGAGCCGCAGATCAGCGCGAGGGAGAGCCGCAGATCAGCGCGAGGGAGAGCCGGCAGATCAGCGCGAGGGAGAGCCGCAGATCAGCGCGAGGGAGAGCCGCAGATCAGCGCGAGGGAGAGCCGGCAGACTTGCTGCTGCGAACCGGTTCCGCATTGTTGCGCTGCGATCCAGGCAGCTGCTTCCAGCGCATGGTCCATTCTCAAAGTGGCGCAACCAAAAAACTATAATTAGCACACGATCGTTCATGTCTGCACATGTTCTCTATTTTCTGTCTTATTTGTGCCTGAAGCGCGCTACTGCGGAGCTCATCACCTGTGCTGCGGTGATTTCACCTCACGCAGCATCAAAAACGCGCTCTGCGCTTTGCGGTTAGGAGATCTTTGATCTGCTCAAAAGTAACTGATGAAGTGAAAAAGTAAGAATCCAGGCAGCAGATTTTCTGGAGAGTTTAGAGGAGATGCAGGAAGATGAGAGACAGACAGGACAGGAAAATATAGTTGAATAAAAACAAGAAAACAAAACAAAGTGTTGAAAAGTAAAATGTAGGTAGATTTATCTCCATTACACGTTTTTACCAGTAAAAACAATAAGTTATACACATGTCATATTTATACATCTGATACAATTCAGATCACCTTCAACACTGTCACACACCCAGGGCCGTTTCAAGACATTTTGGGGGCCAAGGCAAAATGACCCCCCCCCCCCCCCATAGCTGGGCTCCCCAGAAGCCTCTGTGTAATTCATGCCCTCTCCAGGAGTATTAGTTATACAGTGTTTATAAAAGCTCCTCAGACATTACTGACATGTTCTAATATTATCAGATGAAAAACTAAATTATCAGACATGCTGTCTCATCTGCTGCTTTTCTAAACTTGCTAAAAGTAGCTAAACCATTTGAAAGCCACTATTTGTGGATTCTCTGAAAGTTTCCATGGAGTGTGGGACAACTTATTTTTTCATTGATCCTATCGTCTAATCTCCCAGCTGAAACAAGCATCCTTAATAATCTGTGCACAGGAAGCTTACCGATGCTGTAGTAAAACAAAAGGTATAATAATTTATTATTAATAAAACCTTGTTGCAGCACTAAAGCATAAAAATGAGATTTTGCATTAATTATGCAAAATATTTACATATGAATTGTTTTAGAGCCCTTTTATTGGCAGAATCTGATATTAATTTAGTTCTTACAAAAAATGGGTCCCAACATGGATTGTGTGGCGTTGCCATAGTGTGACGTCATAGGCACAGATCCCCTGTCCTCTTGTTTGGAAATGGAAATATGATCACCCTACATTAAACAAACTGTCCACACGGGCTTTTGCGCTGCACAGAGACGCTTCGCTGCCTATGACTCTGAACGTCAGTTGAGAGTCAGTCTCATGCAGACTGACCAATGAAGAGAGGGCCTCAAGTTAAGACCCTCTCCTCATTGGTCAGTCCACACGAGGTGGGTCAAAGGTTACTCTGGGCGGGTTACGTGTTGTCAGGTATTCAAGTATCGAGTATATTTACTGCATATTACAGTAAAATATTCTGTATGTGACCATATTATGGTGATCCTCGGGTCGTGATGATGGAGCCCTTGAATATTGTTGCCCAGGGTACAACAAAGTCTTAATCTGGCCCTGGTTCCGCCGTCACATTCCCGCAGAAACTGGTTGATTACACCGGGGCCAGACTACTATTATGTGGTTTTACAACCACAATGTCCTCGGAAGCAAAAACGCTTTTAAAAGGGAGGGAGGAGTCCTAACTGTTGCTGCAGGCGTGTTGTGTGAGAGTGCAGTTATATACTGGTTAATATATTTTTGAGTTCAGTTGCTTTCATGTGGCCTAATGTGAGTCTATTTGGGATCATTGGAATGATCAGCAGCATTTCTTGATGTGACTTTATGGCAGTTACCCAGGGCATCATCACAAGGAGGATGGCATTAATTTACTTTTGTTTTATTTGGTATTTTTCAGTCATTTTTGGAAATAGTGATCAATTATGAATAATTCACAGCCAATGTTTAATTACATTTAAAATAAATGTCAACAGATGAGATCAAACAAAACAGATGAGAATTGCCCTTAAGCTGTTTAACTTGGACCAAGCATTTTAGGTCACAGATAGATGTAGCTTAGGGTCTCTGTCTATACACCTTATAAGACAATTTAGGTGATGACATGTTGTTTTTCTGCTATTGAACTGTTTTCTAATAATGTTGTGTTAAATAAAGTGAAGGAAGGAGAGAAATAACGTTTCCCTAGCAGTTTTTAAAAATTTCCCCATGTAATCCGATTAATCGATTAATCGTGTCGAGACCCCATCCGATTAATCGATTATCCAAATAATCGTTTGTTGCAGCCCTAATCAACACCAACTATTTACTTGACTAAAACGTTTGTTATTGGCTGTTTGTGAATACTGAAGTATAGTCCAGAGACTTTTGGTTCTAACATTCGTTCTTCTACCTCAAAGGGGAAGTCTGAATATATTTAATATTCTATAATCTTCTTTTTTGAGAGACTTTCTCACATCGGCTGTTTTGTCAGCTGTTTTATTTTTTTTACATGAAACAAGCTGAGATAAAAATGATCAGGCTTGACCTTGAAATGCATATTTTAATTGATTCGAAAGATGCCCGCAGACACTTTTCTTTTTGTTTATGTTATATAAGTCACCATTTTGCTGTTTTGCTTCTGCAGAAGTTAAAGGAAGTGAAAATAGATGAGTGGAAGAACATCCGTGGTCCTCGTCCCTGGGAGGACTCCAAGGAGTACCAGGAGGAGCAGCGCAGGAGTCGGAGCTAAACAGACTGAACTGATGGGGAGGGGGGCGGGACCCGTGGAGTCCAGGCGCTGCAGCTTCAGGAGCTATCTGCTGGTTTGTGTTGGACCTGAGTTTTTGGACGCGTGCATTAGTGTGTGTGTGTGTGTGGGTGGGGTCGGGGTGGGGGTGGGGGGTGGGGGGGTTCTCCGTTAATAAATTTATATTTATTACCCGGAGAGACCAGGAGCTTCTAAACCAGCCAGCGGGTGGCACCTTACCTTCTGTTTTCACAATAAACATCATAAATGTGATTTATAGTATAATTGCTTTGTTTCAATAAATTATTGCTGATTTTCTTAAGAGTTCGCTTTGCTCTCATTTACTTTTTGGCCAGATCTCTTGGACACGGCCTCCTGTTTACAGTAGAGTTGCACTGATTCACCAGCTGAAAGTAGAAAAGAATAAATAAGAGGAGTTTAGCTTCTCCTCAGGCTTCATATGTCTCAACAGTAATCTGTTTTTCTAACACTACTTCACAATGTGGTGGATTGATTGCATTTCTAATGGAAATGGTATTACCTCCTCTGTTTTTGTCCGGCTAAACAACAGAACATGAGTTCGGCGTCAGATGGGTGTGTGAAGGTAATCTCTGTGTGAGTGACAGATAATATATGTGCTGCCTCACCTCATTCAGCCGTGAAATGAATAGTAATGAATATTCCTCGGGTGCATACATCTCTCTGGGATTGTCATGGGATCCATTTTCTGTAATCTCATTTTATGTGTGTTACTTTAGAGTTGCTGTACTGTGGGGTCCTCGCTGCCTTGGGGGAAACAAACAGCAGCTTATATGTTGTCATTTGTCTTCCAGGCGACACAGAAATACGTCTGGTTTTACGTTGTTTCTGATTTTAGCTAGAACATCTGTGGAATAGTGATCATCTCTAATCTGGGAAAGCACGGCATATGTTTATATTTTCTCTACAACTTTAGAGGGGGCATTTTTTTTCTTGCGATAAAATAGTTCTATAAGAAAACAAGATTATGAAATTCTTTGCAGTAAATTTCTGACATGATGTGATTTCAGCAGTTTCAGTACCTTCCAGAATGAGGCATTTCAGGGCTTTGTCACTTTGAGAAAACAAGATGTAGCTGGCCACGCCCACCCCTCCCATGCTCAGGCTGCTATAAGCTGAGAAGCTCTGAAATCTGGGAGGGGCTTAGACTAGAGCTACTTCTCCAGCAGCTCTTGTATGTGAGAGGTGATACTTTTTCCTCATTTGTGACCTCACAAATGGGAACTTTTTAAAACAGCTCGTTTTAGACATCAAACAGAAAAAAAATCGATGGATTTTTTTTCATGTTTAGAGTGTTTATAGAGCTTCACATGGCAGCACAAAAGGATGCTAACAATTAGTTTAGCATATTTTGTCCCCTTTAAAAAGGATTAAAACTGGTTCTGTTTACTAGGGATGGGTACCGAATTCAGTACTGTTTAAGGTACCGACCGAGTTCCATAGTACCGACCGAGCACTGATTCATGTCATTTCAAACGGTGCCTCATTTCGGTACTCGTCCATCATAACAAGAACTTGCCAAGACAGCTACGCATGCGCAAGAGCGTTATGTCGTCGCTCGCTGCGAACCAGTTGTAAACAGAGCAGCATGGTAGAAAGAACGCACGCTAAAGCTTGCGTCCACTTCAATAAATGTGATGGATAACTGGGACAACGATCTAAGTGAGACATCCTCATCTTAATCTGCTCTGGTAGGTAAATATAATTAGCTTGATATGTTAGCTTCCGTTTCACTAATGGTGCGTTCACTTTCTCCTCGGAACTCTGAATTCCCGACTAGAAGAACATGAACGCGCTCTAAAGTTTGGCTTCACTTTACTAAATGCGACGGGTGAAGACGAAACCAGCGACAACGATCTAAGTGTGAGGCATCACCGTTTTAATCTGCTCCAGCAGCTAAATAAACTGTTTAACGTTAGCTTGGTATGTTAGCTTCCATTGCTACCATTGTTATCAGCTAATGGTGCGTTCGCTTTCTCCTCGGAAATTCTAACTTCCCAGTAGGATAAATCAAATGAAAAAGGACGGTAAAAGGAATGAAGATACGCAGTAAATTTAGTTCACAGTAAAGATGTTTGCTTCAGTTTAATTATCAGCTTATAAAACTACAAGGACGATGTTAAAATACAAACAGTTGTATGTTATTTATCGTGATGTTTATCAAATATTGTTATATATTGAGTAAAATATATATTTAATTATAAAAGAGAATTAAAATAATAAACACTCAAAAGTATCGAAAATTGGTACCGTTAAGTACCGGTATCGATTCCTAGGTACCGGGAATTAGTACTGAATCGGTTCAAATGTCAAAGGTACCCATCCCTAGTTTACACTCTAACGTCAGATTCACAGTGACTGTCATCTAATAGGGTACCAGATAATGTTAAATTTTATGTCAAAGTTGGTAACAATTATTCTTAGAAATAAAATAATCTATAGTTTCCTTTAGAATTGAACTGGCAGGTTAAGAGCTTTTCTTAATCTGCTAATCTGCTAACTTCACTGCAAAAACTACTAAACCTAATAAAAATAGAAAATCTGGAGATGTTTGCAAAAAAATGTAAACTCTTTGTTTTTTATTACTTTTGTAACATACCAAAAAGGTCAATTTTCATTATCTAATTGATCTTTGATTTGACAACATAAATCCACTATCTGGCCTCCAAATCCAAAAGGTTCTGCTCAGTGCTTGTTTACATACAAGAAGACAAAACATTCAAACACACTCTGTCCCAAGGTCTGATGCAGGAGCCTGGCTGCTGCATTCCTCACAACCTACTCGAACCCTACATGACTTTACAACTCATTAGCTTAAATAATCATATGTGATGAATGAACAAGGTGTTTAAATCAAATGTTTGAATAACTTGTGCTTAAATCAATGAATTTAAAATAAATATTGTTCTTACAATGATCCATTTATTTCACAAATCTGTGTTTGATTTAACAAGTTAATCATTGTATCTTCAAGTTAATCACACTCACACAAATTACAATAAGATTCTCATTAAGGTTAATATTCACCTCACATAGGAGTTTAAAGATTCTCATTCACAAAGTGTTAAAAACCTTTGTATCTGAAGAAGGTGTGGCTTTCTGAGGGATGTTGGTAAATACTCAAAAACGTGTCAAATTCTGATTTGCCAAACTTGGCCAGAAATCATAACATTGTGGTTTATTTAAACAAGAATTACTTCCCGATTAGTTCAGTTTCTAGCTGACTCTCGAACCGGCCAATTCGGGAACAAGCATCTTTGAAACCATCTCCTTTGACCTCCAGTCAAAGCCTCTGCAACGCTGCAGCTGATATCAGACAAACGGCTCTTCTAAGAGCCAAGCAAACAGCCTTCCAGCTTCCTGCCTTCACATGGAGGGATCTGAGACTGGACGGGTCCTATCGGAGCTAATCTACGGGTTTCTGATATCAAAGGTTCACTCCACCGGCAGTGACCAGCACGACCCGCTGGATCAAACGAGAACCTCCACACAAAGGGTGCGTAGACTTGGCACATATTGCGTCGGATGGTTTTTAAATAAACAACTCTAGTTATAAACAAATTCTTTTACAACCCAGACTTCACAAATTCAGATACAAAGAATGGTTTTGCTAACACATCTAGCTTCCATTACATTTCACACATCACTTTAAATCACTCCATATCCATTACACCACATCTCATTATTCATATCTTGTCATGTATAAATTGTTAGTTTAAGAAAATTAATTAATTTCATTTTATAAACTATTTACTTGACTGTCTGAATTAATATGGAGTGTGTTTATGGTCCCTGAAGAAGCAAAGAACCCTAGAATCTTCTGACTAAACATTCAAAGATCAATCAGGTTGATATTTCATATTAATATGGAATCATCACATCTTATTGGTCATAATTAATATGTAGTGATAATGTCAATCATTAATCACGCTACACTTTGATAATATGATTTTATATTAATACTTTAAACTTTAATAGAACTCCAGTTGTCACAAATTAGTATGAATGAATTGCTTTTCTTCCTGATGTGGTAGTTACGCTCCACAAGACTTATTAGCTCACATAAACCCCAATAAAACAGCGTTTGTATGATCAAATCATTCAAAGCAGTTAAATTAGGCCTCTAAGATGCTGATGCTTACATCCCGACTCTTGTTTTTTGTTAAAAAAATGCAGAAGAAAAAGTTTTATTTGTCACAGCTCGATATAAGGCCTATGAAAGTGAGATTGGAGGTCTTTAGTTAACTCCTGACTTCTTCTGGAAACATGTTCTTCAGCCCTTAGGATTTGCACTGGTTAGACTGAAGGTTAGATGGATTTTCCAGGTCAGTTTTAAGTGGGTTTCTGTGTAAGAGTCATAAATAATTAATGTTCCACCTGTTGTACCTAATGTCCTGAACAGCCTCTGTTCACAGAAATCGCGTTTATGTGGGAGCTAACGAGCTAGCCTGACAACACGTATTTCCAATACTGCACACTGGTTCATGCACACATTATTTGATGAATTCATTTTGCGTTACATGGTTACTCGGCAAGGAAAAATCAACTAAGGCCTAGTCCACACGTAGCCGGGTTTTTTAAAAAACGAATATCCGCCCCTCCAAAAACTTGCATCCACACCACCTCGTTTTAAAAAAAAAAACTCTGTCCACACGTACCCGGATAAATACGTTGTTAAGGACATGCCAGACCTGTAGGCGGCAGTACTTCCCCCGTTCTTAACCTCGTCCTTCGTCTGTGGTCTTCCGCATGGAGCAGTAATTCTGCTTGCAAAAACAAACAAGCAGAAAGCGCTTGGACCATTGATAAAGCGAGCGCAGCTCTGAGGGCTTCCATGCTGTCGGCTAGTGTAAACACAGGTCGCACACGTGATGTCAGCATTTTTTTGTCGCGGAAAGTGACGTTGCGGACCTTAAAACTCCGGTTTTGTCTGTCCACACGCAGACACCCAAAACGGAGAAAATGCAGATCTTCACTTTGGCCGGAGTTTTTAAAAAGATCCGTTTTCGTGTGGATGACAGGC